CCTTCCAGATCTCCGTATCTGGCCCTGGCAGAGCAGCTGTAGGGTGAACGTGTACGTCACCATCATCATTAACCATTCTTACTTGCACAACTGGCCGTTGCTTAAAGAATGGAGGAAGGTTCCACACGACAAAATACGTAGACGTAGACGTGTCAGGGAGCTGATAATACTGCTGACAGCACACGATGATCACCCCAGCCACTGATTGGAACATACTGTAGACATACGTGTCTTGTGATAGGGCAGTCAGTATTGTCACTGTCTTAGCAACATGTCACTGTCACCATGCTGCGTTTGCCTATGCGTTTCTTTGTTGTAGATATGCATGAATGTGTTAAAATCTCTCTCTCTCTCTCTCTCTCTCTCTCTCTCTCTCTCTCTCTCTCTCTCTCTCTCTCTCTCTCTCTCTCTCTGTGTTTACACACTGATGATATGCGACACATAAATATTACAATGGAACAACTTATGGCGACGTTGTCAAGAGAACCACGTCAGAGACCCCTCGTAGTAGCCACCCATCCGTGACACCCCTCACCAAGATATGGGGATTCGAACCATGCTTCTTGCAAAAGAGCAACTCGCACATCTCGTACAATCTCAAACGCATCTGCGAGAATAGTCCGACGCCGTCGGTTACAGGGGCTCAGCCAGACGTTCACACATACACGTGTTCAGTGCTGCACACAGGACTTCAATGAAGAAGGGTTTACTTCATTGATGAGTACCGTTTTCTGCCTAACATATCCTAGTACAATGATGAAGGCCTTTCTTCATCATTTAGTGGCAAAGTGGACAAACTCGCTCATTTGCATATAGCAGGAGCGCTCGTTAGCAGGACTTGTACTGGTTACTGTAAACTCGGAACTTGTCCTGTCTTTGTTGTGTTATATAAATTTATAACATCAACGGCAGAGAATAGTCAGTCTCGATTATCGTGATTATCCATCGGCCGTAAACGACAAAAATGCATAGAAAATTCTATACATTAAAGGTAAATCAAGTTAAATTGTCTTACCATTCCCTTTTCGTATATGACAACGGTACATGTATTTGACTTTGGGTAAACATAATTAATCCCCTCAATCGTTCATTTCTATATAAGTGTGTTTATTCAAACGATTCTAGTTGGGACTGCATCGTCCGGATTAGCGTGGGTTCGCCGTGGAAAGATAAACACATATGTAGATCAATATTTACCAGAACAGGTCAATATCGTGTCGAATAAACCAAATCAGGCAAGAAATGTGCAACGAATTCTCTCCATCAAAACAGTTTAGGCTAATCTCTTCTCTGTTGATGTACGGCTTTACATATTTGTTTGTGTTCTCTTCTCCACATAATTAACGATTCGTATAGGGTATCCGAGTCTCCGAATCAATAAATCACTTTCATTATATATTATCATCAATTTATGTAAAATTATTAATGTCGGAGACAGTTCTGTCTCCAGGCAGTGTTTTCTAATTAGACATATTGGCCATTTGTCGCATTACCGCGCGTTGGTTAATTTTAAAACTCTTTGTTTGTTTTGACAACAACGCGGCAACGAGACAATGCCCCGCATATGATTCCACAGAGAACAGTTCTGTGTCAAAGTGTGTCAGCTTAATGTGAGTGCACGTGGAAGAGCTTGTTTTATACATTTACCTCTGGCATGGTCCTGTTGTTGAAACCACGATCGTAGGATTCTGGCAAGATTTGTCCATACACGCTCTCCAGCCTTTATTTGTGCGTGGCTAACTCAAATTACATACGGAGTATAGTCGTATTGCGTTAATGTGAGAAGAAATTCCTTAAGAAATGTGATGTTTTCCATTTTTCTGAAAAAATATTTTTAGGTGGAGAGCTGACAGATAAAAGATCATTACCTGGACGTATCAGGTATGGATCCAACAGGTATATTCTGGGACGGCTACGGAGCGCTACTCTGTTCGTGACTGATACTGCTCATGACCTGTGTCCAAATTATGAAAGTAAATGTCGGTTTGTGTGACCATGTTGATGCCTCATATATACTTCAGCTGCCTACAAACCCCTCTATCGAGACTCTCATTTAATCCCCTCCAGTTAGACGAATATCTAAATGTAAAATGATAACTTAAATACAAATGGACAATGGACAACGCTTTCATTTCGGCTGAGGAAATGAACACTCTATGGGGTCCGGCTGGCAGCCTATCAACAACATGAGTCCAACCCGACATGGTGTAACGGAATACAGAGTTGAGAAACGACAGGAAACCGATCACCCAGTGGCGTTTGTAATGCACAGTCTATCGGCATGATACCATGATGGTCAACTACCTTCAGACACTATCTGTACCTCGGTGATCACTGGATTGTCTAGTCCAGACTCGAATATTTACAGACCGCCGCCATGTAGCTGGAATATTGCTGAGTGCGGCGTAAGAATAAACTCACTCATCTGTACCTCGGACAGCCTTCCTCTAGATGGCTAATCAGGAACTGGGTGTGAGACTGATATCATGACCTTAGTGGCGGCTGAGACTCCGTCTAACATTGGAGATGTAGCCAAACAAGATGCATATATCCCAAAATTCGAGTCCTTGACATAAAGACAATAATGGTCCTTGAAGGAAATGACACGCAGCACACGACTGGACCATTCAACAACGGCACTTTAATGCATTTCTACTTCAGTGTATTGTATTGTATTGAGAAATATTGTATTGCATTACACTTCATGTATCAGAAGCCATTTATATACTCTACAGCAGAAAAAAACACATTACATCACAATCACTGTTTCCATGGACGTGCTTCACTTTGGTTTTTGTACATGATGAATAGAATGCATACAATTTCAGAAGACAGACACATTGTCCATTGTGATGAAGAAATACCACAATACGTTTGCTATGTCTATCAAGTTATGTATTTACATACAGAAACCAATATGAACACATGTTCATGTTTTTGCGGCCAATTATGAAAACGTAAGACTTCAACTGTTTCCAATTACATGTTTCATTCCAAGGAAGTGAATGTAAGTGACATAACCATTTCCACAATTCTAAACTTGACATGTACATCTCAGATGTATTTTTGGTGTTCGCGAACAGGTGAGCGTATCCTCACCCGTGCCAAACACATGCAAAGGAATGTCAAGTCTTCACCTTAACAAACACGGGCACATGCATCTTGATATTAAGTATCTAAAGGGAGATATCAACAGCAAATACATGGATATCTTCGTCATTTAAAGGATCAGCTTTGACGACAAGTACAATATTTTTGTTTCAGTTTTGACATAAACATTTACATCATCTTCAAAGGCATTGACATATTCAGCTGCATCGTCACAGTCATTCAGGACATCAACATGTATTTGATTTTTGAAAGACATGTAAATACAAATATGCATGTAAAACACAAACTCTTTACCCAGTTATTCAGTTCACATTTAAAGATCGACGAGTGTCATCGATTGCTGCAGAGACATATACAAACATATAAACCCCTGTCAATACATGCACATGTCTGGTATTTGTTCGTGCACCCATTAACTCACGGTACAATGCTGTCCAATAGTTTGATGTTTTCCTACATTGTACAAACATACAATACGTTTCATACCATCAACACACTTTCTTTGATCTGTAAGCTTTCATCCCGTAGTATTGAACTTTCAGAAGAGATTTCATATAAGTATGGAAACGGCTTTTGTCGTTTCTATTTTCATAATCACATTAGCTTGAAACCCAGCCCACACAATCATAAAGAAAGGTTGGCTTGTTTATACATATGTTATCACTGAGAGAACATTATCTCCCCTAATCTTACTTATCCTTGCAAAATATCAGTTACACCATGTGAGATCATCCATGTGACGTTCTTAGAATTCACCTCGAAGGTTCTGCCAAAATCTGTTCTTGTCATACTGGATGTTCTGAAAAAAGCATATTTTGTACCAAACGCAAAAACTAGTTCAGCTTTCCTTTTCAGAGAAAACAGACAAAATTGATTGTCATGAAGCTGTTGGTTGTCAGTGAGTCCTGGATCTTATTGTGTAGGTTTCATTTTAGTTTTTTCTTTGATCAAGGTTCCGTGCATGTTGTGAAAATCCCACAGTCTTCAATTTCCTTTTTGAAAACCATTCTAATTTTCATCACCATTTTGCATTTGCAGACAACCGAGACAATTTTTTCTGGCGGTCACGTTTTGGATTGATATACACAATTGAATGAAATGTAACAGATGTGTAAGAATTTACAGATGTCGCACAATCACAGTATCCCATATTGCAAGATAACGATTTCTATTTTGGGGTTCAAAGTTGAACATGTGAATAAGCGTTTACTCCAATGTGTTTAACCCTAAGGACTTGGCAGATGCTACATTTGAGGAGACATGAAATGTTATAGTAGGCCTAGGCTGTATTTCTAGATCGGTGATCTGTCAGTTACTTTAGAATGATGTTCTTCTCCAGAAACATTGTGGGTATATATCCTGTCGATGATCGTTGAGCTTCGTGTGCATTATCTTTCTCAGGTTAACAGTTCTTATCCAGGAGATCTCATGATCATTTGCTTTAAACACAAGAAAATTCATTTCTAAAATGTAACGATTGTTTATTGTATTTGTACATTCAAGTCGTATAACAATAAATGTCTTGGTTTCAAGCTTCTTAAAATACATTCATTTGTCATGTTTCAATATATCAATGTAAAAGAAATTTGTGAGTTAGTATCATTGTAGTGTTTATTAATCACCTAAATCCTTCTGAACTGTTCTATTGATTAATACACATTATACCGTTGAGAGTTATTCTGGGAGACATTCATGCAGACTTGTCCTTGTTTAGCCACGACGGCGGATGGGAGATCCGACCTTTGCCCCTAGAAAAAAGCAAAACAAAACTTAATCGTTTAAGTAACACATCAAAGCTTAATGTGTTTTCAATCCAGAGAATGCCACTTCATTAATCAAAGCACGAGTTTAGCTCAGATAACCGCTGTTCAAAATATATATTTTGGAAACTTGATGAGCCAATTATTATGAATTCGTTTGTGCAATGTAACTGGATCCTCAAAGTTTGCCAGTCCCAAGTGTATACTTGTAGGTCCAACTACATGCATGCTCAGAGACGTGACTAAATGATGATCAGACGTATTCGCAGTTCAGTATTGTGAAGAGTAGGAGAAGAACAACAGCAGGAAACCCCACAAATAACAAACAAACACAAACAAAACAAAAAACAAAACAAAACAAAACACCTAACAACATACAAATAAAAACAACAAAACAACAAGTACAAACGAACCAATTATAAAAACACCCCAAATCAGCAAGGTCATTGGGTTGTCTGGCACAGGTTCTATTATGTAGAGACTGCCGTCTGAGTGCGTCTTCAAACAATAAACTCTCCATTATTCAGGATGATATTTATTGTAGGGAAATATCTGTGCAAACACAATACTACTCTACAATGTTTTTCAAACAGTAATGCGTTAATTGCAATTACTTACCAGCATGGATGGCCAGCATGGGGTCCTGGTCGGCGCCACTGATATGTATGGCAGCGTGTCCATTTGCATCAACATTCACTGTTTTGCCAGTACACTTTCCGTTAACAAGGTCACCGGAAATTACATCGCAATAGTCCCCAGACGGAAGTCCAGTGTTGAGTGTCTGTTGGAGATCGGCTCCATCGAGATTAAAAGCAATAAAGGCCTTGTTGCCTCTCGAGAATGCTATCTGATAGTCTGAACCAGACCACCAGTTAGTCAACCCTGAGAGACTAGCAACGTTCCTGAAGGCAACCATGTTGTACATCGGGCGCCATCGGTGCTCACAGGTCCATCCGTTGCCACAGCTCAGATCACTGGAATACAACAAAGAAGGAAACGTGAATGGAATCAATTTCCTAATGGTGCGTTTATTGGTTTGTGTGTGGCCAAAATAGGATAACGGGTTCCAGTCAACTTTCAAGACAGTAATAATTATATATTCTACCATGACTTCAGTAAATACTGGATTGCGATTGGTTAATTAAAGTCATTCAGAGGTATATAATCACGTTATATACCTCTCATTTTCCAACATAGTATGTATTTTTTAAACATCTTAATAATGGGGTTATGGTAGAATGGAGATAAACATACAGGGTTGGAAAATCAGAAGTATATAACGAAATAATAATGGCTCTACATTTTTTATTTAAAACCTCACGCTACGCGTTTGGTTTTCAATCAAATTTAGAGCTATTATAATTTTGTATCTCCTAATTATTGTTATTAAGTTGTAAGGGATGAAGAGAGCGGAATACTATCACCAAAACTTTTCAGGGAATAAAGTTATATGACACTTTACTGGATGCGTTGATATCATTAAAGAGTCAAGGATTAATAAAATTTATGATACTATGTTCAACTGTTTTCGAATCCATTTTTATCACGTGACATTTTGAGAACTGACGGTACAAATATACCAAAATATATATAAAATACAATAAACAAATGATACATAACTATAAAGAAGCGTCCATTGTCCATTCCGACATTGTCATGGGGTTATGTTTGATACTGGGATAGGATATACTGCCCCACTGGTGGAACCTTACAAACACATGTACAGTCGGGTTAAGCGTTCAGTAAAACCAAACCAAACCAATATAAAACACAGAAACTTGTAGTACAAGACCAAATAGGGAATTGCTTGACATTATTTTTGTAACTGATATGTTAAATTTGAAAAGGCCATTCACATGTCAATAAGGACATATGCATACAAAAATATTTGGCCAACACATGAAGCATTGATTTGGCAATAAACAAACCTTTTGATGGTCACCGGTTTGGTGCTCATGTCGTTGTTGTGAGGGGGTCCCTGATTAGTGTCAGTCAGTGAGAAGTCGTATGAGCTCATAATCTTGGGGAAGCCGTACGGATAGGCTAACATGAAGGCTGTCGCCAGCTTGTAAGCACGGGGCTCGAAGTGACTGAGGACGTCCCCGGGGGCGCCGTGATCTCCATGGTCCCTCTGGGTGTCCTGGGTGTCAATGAAGACGATTGTATCGTCAGATCTCATCATCCCTTTTCCCCAGTCGATCAACATCTTCATAGCCTTCTGTTTCCTGTCGATTAAACAATTGCACAATATAGCAATAAACATACGAACTACTGTTGGTTGGATTGAGCCATGACGAGGAAAACAATTGCACAATATAGCAGTGAACATACGAACTGGTGTTGGTTGGATTGAGCCATGACGAGGAAAACAATTGCACAATATAGCAATTAAACATACGAACTGGTGTTGGTTGGATTGAGCCATGACGAGGAAAACAATTACACAATATAGCAATAAACATACTAACTACTGTTGGTTGGATTGAGCCATGACGAGGAAAACAATTGCACAATATAGCAGTGAAGATACGAACTGAGTGTTGGTTGGATTGAACCATGACGATGAAAACAATTGCACAATATATCAGTTAACATACGAACTAGTGTTGGTTGGATTGAACCATGACGATGAAAACAATTGCACAATATATCAGTTAACATACGAACTAGTGTTACGAACTAGTGTTGGTTGGATTGAACCATGACGAGGAAAACAATTACACAAATATATCAGGGAAGAACATACGAACTAGTGTTGATTGGATTGAACCATGACGATGAAAACAATTGCAAAATATATCAGTTAACATACGAACTAGTGTTGGTTGGATTGAACCATGACGATGAAAATGAAAACAATTATCAGTTAACACAATATGATCAGTTAACATACGAACTAGTGTTGATTGGATTGAACCATGACGATGAAAACAATTGCACAATATATCAGTTAACATACGAACTAGTGTTGATTGGATTGAACCATGACGATGAAAACAATTGCACAATATATCAGTTAACATACGAACTAGTGTTGATTGGATTGAACCATGACGATGAAAACAATTACACAATATATCAGTTAACATACGAACTAGTGTTGATTGGATTGAACCATGACGATGAAAACAATTACACAATATATCAGTTAACATACGAACTAGTGTTGATTGGATTGAACCATGACGATGAAAACAATTACACAATATATCAGTTAACATACGAACTAGTGTTGATTGGATTGAACCATGACGATGAAAACAATTGCACAATATATCAGTTAACATACGAACTAGTGTTGATTGGATTGAACCATGACGATGAAAACAATTGCACAATATATCAGTTAACATACGAACTAGTGTTGATTGGATTGAACCATGACGATGAAAACAATTACATGAACATACGAATTGCATTGGATTGAACAATGACGATGAAAACAATTACACAATATATGAAGATACGAACTACGATTGGTTGGATTGAGCCATGACGATGAAAACAATTGCACAATATATATGTTAACATACGAACTAGTGTTGATTGGATTGAACCATGACGATGAAAACAATTGCACAATATTTAACATACGAACTAGTGTTGATTGGATTGAACCATGACGATGAAAACAATTACACAATATATGAAGATACGAACTACGATTGGTTGGATTGAACCATGACGATGAAAACAATTGCACAATATATCAGTTAACATACGAACTAGTGTTGATTGGATTGAACAATGACGATGAAAACAATTGCACGATGAAAAACAATTGCCATACGAAAAACAATATATATCAGTTAACATACGAACTAGTGTTGATTGGATTGAACCATGACGATGAAAACAATTACACAATATATGAAGATACGAACTACGATTGGTTGGATTGAACCATGACGAGACAAAATTACACCAACTATGAAGATACGAACTACGATGTTCCCATGACGAGACAAAATTACTCTAAATCAAGATGTCAATGTTCCTGTTTGCTCAAATATAAATCAGAGACAATATCTGATTTTCACTAATGAAACATATCGATGTTACAAAAAAGGGGGTGTTCCATTTTGTGGTGATATCATTTAGGAACCAATTTGTATGATTGTACATAGAACTAGAATATAATTATTCCATTCACAACGTATTGTGACTTTCGTGCAAAAAGCTTTTATGATGTGAACGTGAACATGGTCGGGGTATAATTCGAATTTACAGTGTGTTGATACACATTGCAGTGTCACGCAAGGAACGGCTACATGAGGTCACACTGTCTTTCAAGTTGGAAATAAGCTTCACGGAGCTACAGGTGTTAAAGTGAGTGGACAGTCAATCATCTACACACATAAAATCTGCATACCCGACGTCAGAGTGTTATCCCACGATTGACGGAACGTAACGTCACTGAACAACGCCGTTGCAGCGGCCGCGCTGGACCAATCGTCTTTGAGCAAACATAATGTTTTCGGGAAAACGAGAGTTTACTTTGAACTAACTTGACAGGCACAACGGAGTGTGGTACAGTCGGGATGAGGTTTTTCATGCCGTAAACGACAGACCGATCGTTTTGGGCCCGGTAATCATGTGGGGTGGGTTCACTGTGAGTGACAGAACACCTTTACATGATATTCACGGATGTGTCAAAGGCAGTACTGCAGTGACAACATCCTGGAGGCAAAATGGACGTGGTTTTGTATTTCAAAGCACGCACCTCTCGTGTGTTCATGAGTTAATGTTAATGAATCCGCCCAGAGGGAGAACCTGACGAGTTTGTTATGGGCAGCACTCAGTCAAGATTTGACACCTGTCTGAAATATCCTTGTCACTGTCAACAACCACCAGCCACTCTGAACGGACTTATCCCTGTCACTGATAGACGGCAGTTCCTTCGACTCAAACAACATCTGGCACATCTTCTGTGTGGCTGTGGTACATGGTCTCATGGTCTCTGTGCGGCCATGCTTGAAGGCAGGAGGAATGGGATGGAACGAACCAAGCTGGCATTGGACGTTTGACAAGGAGCATCCGGGATTGCCTTGAGAATAAAGGCGGATCCACGCGATATGAGTCTTCCTGGTAAATGAGGTGATGGACAATAGGGCCAATCAATGACGTTCGGGTCTAATGCAAATCTCAGTCAGGTGTCCTTTTTAAACTGTTTATCTCATTAAAAGTATAAAATATCTTGAGCACAGGGCCGTTGATCAAAGTCCACCAGTAAAGAATTGTCCAAACATCTCTGGCCCGTTTCATAAACCGATCGTAGCGCTACGACAATCCCAAGTCCTAGGCTTAGGCTTATGACAGTCGTAGAGCTACGATCGCTTCGTGAGACGAGCCTCAGGACCTCACGATTGGGGGTTCCAAGTTGTCTTCAGCATGACGTCATGGGTAGCTTTGTAGTGGCCGTTAGTATCATCTGCTTCCGGTAGAAAGGGATACACCTGGAGTCATGACATTTGTTCACTCATATAACGTTTATCACTGCATTGCCTTTTACGCCCAATAGAATATGTTTCGGTAGGTACTCCAGCCTGATGATTCTCTGCCATTGACGATACATATATAAACATAATCATTGCACATTGTTACCTGAAGAACTTAGTGAGCTCGGCTCCATAGATGAAGTTCGTGACTCTTCCGCTACTAAGATACTGGTCGCCCGTGATTGGTTCAGCAATTCCCGTGTCTATTACTTCTTGGAATACGAAGGGCCTCTTGTTGTGACCAAATGTCTCCGACGGAAGGTTGTTCACTTGGTCCATAATAGCTACAATGTCTCCTGGAACGAACGTCCATTACCTTTATCATTTTAGATATGATTATATATCGTGTCCACTTCATCATATAGGCTCATTACCTTCATCATTTTAGATATGATTATATATCGTGTCCACTTTATCATATAGGTTCATTACCTTCATCATTTTAGATATGATTATATATCGTGTCCACTTTATCATATAGGTTCATTACCTTCATCATTTTAGATATGATTATATATCGTGTCCACTTTATCATATAGGCTCATTACCTTCATCATTTTAGATATGATTATATATCGTGTCCACTTTATCATATAGGCTCATTACCTTCATAATTTGAGATATGATCATATATCGTGTCCACTTTATCATATAGGCTCATTTAGCGTTGTATCAGTTCCATTGCATTACATCGATATAAACATTTGAGGTTGTAGAAACTTTCCTTTGCGATGGATGTGTAACTTGGAAATGTATTAATTCAACATATAGAAAACAGGGACACGGATCCCATATCTGAACAAACCTGGCCACATGTGCTTGGCAGCATCCAGCCTGAATCCGGCGATACCCATGTCCACCAGGTTGTTCAGGTAGGCAATAACCTTGTCTCTGACGGAGGTCTTGTCCAGCTTCAGATCTACCAGACCAAGCAGTCTGCAGTTCCGTACCTCCCCAACATTGTGGAAGTCGTGGATGTTCAAGTCTGCGCTGTGGCAAGTTGAGCCGTCGTTGAAGTCGGAGGGGCCAAATGGCACGCCAGGAAATTGAAGCCCACTCCCGTTGTACATGCTGCCAGCAGTTCCATAGCCAGAACTACTCGAGCTAGCCATGTGGTTGATCACCGAGTCACCGTATATTCTGTAAATAATAGTTGCAAAACCATTTCCATATTCACTAAAGCAGAGTCGATCGTACAATTCTGAGTATGTCCTGAACTTGTGTTTATGAATCACAATCCAATAGTCATGATACCAGGTGTCCTGTCCACCCTTGACACCTGTCACAAACACACGCAAAGGCTAGCAAATCGTCCTCCTGAAAACACCACCACAACGAGTGGTATCTGGCTGTGTGGATCATTTTCTCAACATACTGAGGGTTTGTGACATTTCAAATGACCGGGGACAAAGAAGCACCTAGATAAAACATCACAACAGTTCGTGTGCAGTTAAAAGCGTCTAAAATAGTTTCGCAGTTAACGTAAGTCCTTTGTGATATTAATACCACATGAAGTACGTACTGGAATACTGAGCCGCAGATACCTCACCAGCGTATATCACATTTTTTCAAATCCAAGTCAGCATAAACAATGATTTCTGACACAAAAATTAACATGAACCTCTCTGAACGTCATCCCAGTTGTAGTCAGGTGTAAAAACAACACGTTTTGGCTGAGATGATAGAAACATAGAAACGTGACATTTTCTCCAACATCTTCTCATTTCATCATTCCCTGCTTAGTAATTGTTCCTCCAGCATCTCTATGATTCTTAGTGGTGAAGTACACAGACTCTCAGCGGGAATTGAAGGATACAGTTTGAATGAGTGAGGTTAGTTTGACGCCGCACTTAGCAGTATTCCAGCTATATGGCGTTGCTCTGTAAATAATCGAGTCTGCACCAGACAATCCAGTGATCAGCCGTATGAGCTTCGATCTACGCAATTGGGATACGATGACATGCGTCAACCAGGTCAGCGAGCCTGACCACCCGATCCCGTTAGTCGACTTTTACGATAAGCATGGGTTGCTGAATTTCTAACCCGGATCTTCACGGGTTTAAGTATACAGATTACGCGGAGTTACTGAATTATACAGAATCTGTGTGGGTTATTATACCTCTCCTTGGGACTATCGCCCCAGTAACATTAGTGCATCAGGCTCACTCACTCACTCACTCACACTAACTACCCACCCACTCAGTCATTCCTAGCATAAAGGGTTACAGTTATGCGGCATTCTATTGTAAGCAATTCCTAATCCTGTCTGGTCACCAGTGACTCCAACCTTCTTGCAACAGGCCTCACTCACTCACTCACTCACTCACTCACTCACTCACTCAGTCATTCCTAGCATACCATTACATCCATATGACACTTTTCTTTAACCAATCCCTGTGTGGTTGACAGTGAAGCTCACCTGACTCCACCCTTGTTGCACCTGGCTGAATCACTAACTTATTCATCAATGTGTGTGACAGTCTTCTTTAACCAGTCACTGATCCTCTGTGTTAATGTGTGAAGCTCACCTGACTCCAACCTTGTTGCACCTGGCTGAATCACTAACTTATTCATCCATGTGTGTGACAGTCTTCTTTAACCAATCACTGATCCTCTGTGTTAATGTGTGAAGCTCACCTGACTCCAACCTTGTTGCACCTGGCTGAATCACTAACTTATTCATCCATGTGTGTGACAGTCTTCTTTAACCAATCACTGATCCTCTGTGTTAATGTGTGAAGCTCACCTGACTCCAACCTTGTTGCACCTGGCTGAATCACTAACTTATTTTTCCATGTGCGTGACATTCTTCTTTAACCAATCACTGATCCTCTGTGTTAATGAGTGAAGCTTACCTGACTCCAACCTTGTTGCACCTGGCTAAATCACTAACTTATTTTTCCATGTGTGTGACATTCTTCTTTAACCAATCGCCGATCCTCTGTGTTAATGAGTGAAGCTCACCTGACTCGAACCTTGTTGCACCTGGCTGAATCACTAACTTATTTTTCCATGTGTGTGACATTCTTCTTTAACCAATCACTGATCCTCTGTGTTAATGAGTGAAGCTTACCTGACTCAACCTTGTTGCACCTGGCTAAATCACTAACTTATTTTTCCATGTGTGTGACATTCTTCTTTAACCAATCGCCGATCCTCTGTGTTAATGAGTGAAGCTCACCTGACTCGAACCTTGTTGCACCTGGCTAAATCACTAACTTATTTTTCCATGTGTGTGACATTCTTCTTTAACCAATCACTGATCCTCTGTGTTAATGAGTGAAGCTTACCTGACTCCAACCTTGTTGCACCTGGCTAAATCACTAACTTATTTTTCCATGTGTGTGACATTCTTCTTTAACCAATCGCCGATCCTCTGTGTTAATGAGTGAAGCTCACCTGACTCGAACCTTGTTGCACCTGGCTGAATCACTAACTTATTTTTCCATGTGTGTGACATTCTTCTTTAACCAATCACTGATCCTCTGTGTTAATGAGTGAAGCTTACCTGACTCCAACCTTGTTGCACCTGGCTGAATCACTAACTTATTTTTCCATGTGTGTGACATTCTTCTTTAACCAATCGCCGATCCTCTGTGTTAATGAGTGAAGCTTACCTGACTCGAACCTTGTTGCACCTGGCTGAATCACTAACTTATTTTTCCATGTGTGTGACAATCTTCTTAACTCGCCGATCCTCTGTGTTAATGAGTGAAGCTCACCTGACTGAACCTTGTTGCACCTGGCTGAATCACTAACTTATTCATCCATGTGTGTGACATTCTTCTTTAACCAATCACTGATCCTCTGTGTTAATGAGTGAAGCTCACCTGACTCCAACCTTGTTGCACCTGGCCACCATGTCCTTCAGTTCCTGCTCGGTACCGCTCCTCGTCTGCAGTTTGAAGCTGACAGGCTGGTACCGCTCCCACCATGGCCGATTGGGGTTCGTGACGATCCGATTTTCATGAGGAGGAGAGATCTGTTATACCATGATCATCTGTTATACCATGATGGCTTATAAATAATGGAATAAACAAGGCAAACCAATATCGCCGACAGCACAAAGACACAAGGGTGCAAAAATATTAAAATCCTCGGGAAGGGTGTTAACATGGGGGCGACCTTGACAGGCGTTGGAATGTACAATGGTTTCATGAAAACATAAACAGCTTGGCTGTAGCTGTTTGGGAATGTTTAAGCATTTCAGGAATATTATGAATTCAGGATGAATTAATAGTTCTAACACACGTTGCACTGTTTCTGCTACCAAATGTCGATGATTATCATGTATTAATAGTTAAGATCAAAACATAAACATAAAGATATCGAGTTATTCATGTAACAATTGGAGATTCCTTAGAGTGTTGATATCAAATACAGCCGGTAAAGTTGCAGCTAGTATGACGTCAATCTTATTGAAATCAGTGTTCGGTGTTCCTACCCCTAACAACGATCGGAGGACATGCAGTCATGTGACAACGACCTTTCTGATCAAATTTTCATATCATCAGAATAATCATCCTTAAGTCATATGTTCATCTCCTCATCGGTCGAGGTCGTAATATAACACCTATAAAGGCAACCTTTTAAATTTATGTTTCTCATCGCCCCACCGACTCTAATTTGGCTGCCGACCCAAATGATGGGATGAAGGTTGGATATACAGGACAAATGAAAATTCACAAGAAGGCTAAGCACTAGGTATAAATATTTATATCATATATTCACCATCATATACTAATGCCAATAATGGTTGTCACCCCCTTAAATTTTTTTAATTGGAGAGGGGGTGTGGGGTGGGGTTGTGAGGTGTGTGTGGGGTTGGGATGGGGAGTGGGGTGACAACCATTATTGGCATGAGTACATATTAAAAAGTAACGAAACATTTTAATGACCGATGTGTCTAACTTTGTGACAGTAACAATTGATTTAATCTATTTTGAGGTTCTCTGCTGCTTTTGCTTGAAGTCCAGTCTGTGTTAAGGATGTAAAATCTGCATAGCTGTCCAAAACATGATGTTGCTGCATGTATATTTTAATTCCTGACTAACAAAGTAAACAGAAAAGGTGTTTTCTTGTTTCCAGATGCGGATTTCCCATAGCCACCCCCAAAAAGGCCAAATAAATGAGATTTATTTTATCTGATGTAGATTTGAACAAATCAAGATTTCTCATTCTAATTTTTATTATTTTAAACCGACCGACTCAACTTTAGATCATGGCGACTGTGTGAATCACTTGAAAAACATAATAGATTGCTTTCCTAAATGTAAATCCTCAGTAAACATTTCCTAAATCATAGAAAGTCCTGTTGTCGAGTTCATTGTAAGTGAAACTGCCAAACGTATGTGTCTATCTTACAGAGCACCTTAGATCTACCATAATTACTGATATGTAATCAAGAGACAACATCATGTCACACCATGTCATATAAATCACGATAAGTTTCACTTGACCCCGCCCCATGCAATTATAAGCTCATTTGGGAGCTTGTTAGTTGATCATATATCTTTCGGAACGATTTTATTAAGTTCATATCCATGATTGGACAAATGCCTCTTGTTTTAGACAATCCAAGCAAATATTGAATACAACCCTTTACACATCCATAATAAATCTCTGCTGAAAGCAGTGTCTGTTGTCCGATTCCGACTATATCATGACCATTGTTTATGAACCATTATCAAATAGCGATGCTGCCAGGTGAACGTAAAAGGTCGGTGGGCAAGGGTATTTCTTGCTGATGAATGACGATAAGCTTTTGAGGAAGACCACCTGCTGTCTCTCCTTGAAGCGAAGGAGACGTAGGCGATGTTGGAGGGAATGTTATCGTTGATGTTATGGGAGATGTACATAATGAGATGGAATGTCCTGGCCGGAGTTATCACGGAGTAATCATGGTAACATCATGTGATAAGAAGCGTACTGATGACTCTTTAAGGACATCAAGGATATTGGCAGATTGAGAAGACTTGATGTTGAAAGACACATGATATCAGGTTAAACGTCCACATGAGAGGAACTCAAAACATGTTTTGGCGAACTGAATCAGATGTTTTGTGAGTTCGTTGTCCTGATAGTGTGTGGAAAACTACATTTCCACAACAAAGTACTGTACTATTTCGATGAAACCTCAAAACAAAGGCAAGGTAACATAGCCGAGTTGAGTAGCACTGGTATGACACGCCAAATGGATGATGGCGGTTTTGCTACACCTACCAGAACCTTCAGACACACGTACAATCTTGCTTGGATGACAGTTTACATGATAGGTCAACGACCATTGTCGCATTAATCAAATACTTTACATTATGCGCAAAAGTGATATCAACAATCAAATAACATACTCGAGTTGAAAGTTCTTATACGTAAACTGATACCTGAACACCACAGAACCCGTATGGTCCAAGGAACCTCTCACACTCGTCAGCAATGTCCGCCCAACGCCACTCGAACAGGTGCGTGATGGCTGTCCGTCCCTCCACACAGTTAGGGTTACTGTACATGGACCCTAGAGCTGCAGAGATGAAAAAGATCTAACAGTATTACAATAAAGAACAGTAGAACAGGTGCGTGATGGCGGTCCGTCCCTCCACACAGTTAGGGTTACTGTACATGGACCCAAGAGCTGAAGAGATGAAAACGATCTAGCAGTGTTACAATAAAGAACAGTAGAACAGGTGCGTGATGGCGGTCCGTCCCTCCATACAGTTAGGGTTACTGTACATGGACCCAAGAGCTGAAGAGATGAAAACGATCTAGTAGTGTTACAATAAAGAACAGTAGAACAGATGCGTGATGGCGGTCCGTCCCTCCACACAGTTAAGGTTACTGTACATGGACCCAAGAGCTGCAGAGATGAAAACGATCTAGCAGTGTTACAATAAAGAACAGTAGAACAGGTGCGTGATGGCGGTCCGTCCCTCTACACAGTTCGGGTTACTGTACATGGACCCAAGAGCTGAAGAGATGAAAACGATCTTACAGTGTTACAATAAAGAACAGTAGAACAGGTGCGTGATGGCGGTCCGTCCCTCCACACAGTTACTGTACATTATGGATCCAAGAGCTGCAGAGATGAAAACGACCTAACAGCATTACAATAAAGAACACTCGAACAGATCACAGTATCTGGTTTTGTATCATTTTGTATTTCCATTGAAAAACTAAAACACCCCATCCCTCCCCCAAAAAAACAACAACAACAACAACAACAACAAATTTGAAAAATAAAAGAAATAAATGCAAATAAATATGAAAACATACGTGCAGCTGTTTTTTGTTTGTGCTTATCATTAGGTGAGAAATGTGCCAAGGTAGGATGAATTACGATCAGCCAGCATAACCTGACACGTTCATTTGTACCTAAGTTGCTTTTCAAGTCTGTTACACAACACTGCGATAGCCCTGATGTCATAAATGAGGTCGTACAGTACATGGCAAATGCCCAGGTGTTTCCAGATGTGTGGCGCATTTTTAAATGCTGTGAAATGCGATTAGTGACATAAGTCTGGTGCAAATTATTGTACTTAATTTCAGCTTGAGTAAAAAACGTTAACATAACATTATAAATCTTCTTGTGTCTGTGTGGAAAATCACTCACCCGTCGGCAAGATGAACGCTAAAAACCACATTGGAGCCATGCCAGCAGGTACTAGCTTCTTAGATAGTGTAACTGCCTTATATAGATAGCTATCTGTGCCATACTTGTACAGACAGTAAGGGTCGTGTCCTTCACCACTGTACATGTTGAATACCAACGAACTTCAGGCATGACTCAACCTAAATTCCTTTTTTTTTTTCCAAATGATAAATTTGTGAAGCAGACAGATTGTACCCTTTATGCTCTATACTTCCACTCTGCGACACCTTTCCTCTACACTCCCACACTGCGACACCTTTGCTCTACACTCCCACACTACGACACCTACACTTCGACACTGTGACACCTTTCCTCTACACTCCCACACTGCGACACCTTTGTGCTTTGTACGTCCAAACTACGACCCCTTTGAACTCAATACTTTTATGGACACTACGACACAATTGTACAGTTTACGTCTACACTACGATACTTCCAGACACTATGCATCTACACGACGAAACATTTGAACACTCTACGTCTACACTACGACACAATTGTACAGTTTACGTCTTCACTACGACACAATTGTACAGTTTACGTCTACACTACGATACTTCCAGACACCATGCATCTACACGACGAAAGCTTGGAACACTATAGTCTACACTACTACACAATTGTACAGTTTACGTCTACACTACGACACAATTGTACGCTCTACGTCTACACTACGATACAATTGTACGCTCTACGTCTACAATACGACACAATTGTACACTTTACGTCTACACTAAGACATCATTGTACAGTTTAAATCTACACTACGACACAATTGTACATTTTACGTCTACACTAAGACATAATTGTACAGTTTACGTCTACACTACGATACTTCCAGACACTATGCATCTACACGACGAAACATTTGAACACTCTACGTCTACACTACGACACAATTGTACAGTCTACGTCTTCACTACGACACAATTGTACACTCTACGTCTACTTTACGACACCTCCCGACACTATACATCAACACGACGGTGTAGTTAACCCACACCTCACGACTTTAAACTCAACTGACTCGTCACAGAGAACATGCAAATGTTCTTGATACATAAATATAGTACATTTCACTGTCTTCTCATCCATTTCGCATAACCTTTTCAGAAGGTCGTAAAGGTGCATCTCTTGGTAGTAATCAATGTATGGCATTATCGTGAAAAGTAGTGCTTATCGAATGTAATGCTCTATGAGCACATTGATATGATCTATCAACCTCGTGTAGTCGGGCCACAAATTGGGTTCCTCTATATCGACTGTGCTGTAATGTATCAAAACTGATCGATCGCTAAACCATAATTAGGTTTTAATGATGAATCTATATATTGTAATGAATATTGTATGAGTTGGTACGGTAATATAAGGATTCATGACCGCAGTCTTTGTGTGGAATTGGCTTGACAAAGAAATGCTAGGGACGATGGGACGGCCTTATTTCCGACTAGAACATACTAATTATGACATTGTGTTTCTTGTGGTACGTGTATCCAATCACGTGATGAAGCAGAGAAACAGATGATTGTACCCACTGCTATGACAGACAGTGTGTAATCAGGTTGTTGGCCCTGCTTTGAGATTGGAGAATTGTCACTCTACACTGTCGTGAAGGGGGATTGGTCACGGGTGTGTAAACAATTGTCATAAGTGTACTTAAAATGTGGGTTAGTGTGTATTACTAAGTACATTATATATACTGGACAAAATAAGTTAGGGATATTTGTATTTTTATGATTGATCTTTTATCAGAGTGTCAATGAATAAATAGATCATTATTCATAATTTCAAGAATTTACATTATATCTCTAACTATTTTGTCCAGTATGTTTGCCATGGGTATATTTTATCTTCGGACATTTCAATCACTTAGTGCCTTGTCTGGATCAGACATGTCAATGTCGTAGTGCCTTGGCTGTGCCAGACATGTCAATGACGTACTAACTTGGTTGTGCCAGACATGACAATGACGTACTACCTTTGCTGTGCCTGACGTGCTACCTTGGCTGTGCCAGACATGTCAATGACGTACTACCTTGGTTGCGGAAGACATGTCAATGACGTACTACCTTGGTTGCGGAAGGTATGTCAATGACGTACTACCTTGGTTGTGCCAGACATGTCAATGACGTACTACCTTGGTTGTGCCTGACGTACTACCTTGGCTGTGCCAGACATGTCAATGACGTACTACCTTGGTTGAGGAAGACATGTCAATGACGTACTACCTTGGTTGCGGAAGGTATGTCAATGACGTACTAACCTTGGCTGTGCCAGGCATGTCAATGACGTACTACCTTGGTTGTGCCTGACGTACTACCTTGGCTGTGCCAGACATGTCAATGACGTACTACCTTGGTTGCGGAAGACATGTCAATGACGTACTACCTTGGTTGCGGAAGGTATTTCAATGACGTACTACCTTGGTTGTGCCAGACATGTCAATGACGTACTACCTTGGCTGTGCCAGGCATGTCAATGACGTACTACCTTGGCTGTGCCAGACATGTCAATGACGTACTACCTTGGTTGTCCCAGACATGTCAATGACGTACTACCTTGGCTGTGCCAGGCATGTCAATGACGTACTACCTTGGTTGTGCCTTGACCGTATCAGATTGTTCCACAATCTCGTGTCCTCTTCCAGTCATTGCCTAGACATTGCAATACGTGCCAAGATGCTTTGTGGCAATGGGGACAATCATCGTAACTGGTGTCAGCAGACAATGCAGTTGGTTCTGAATGAGAGGAGTTACCAGCCCTTGTGAGCATTGCCCCTTTTAGTGTGTGTGAGCGGGTGAGTGAGTGAGAGAGTGAGAATTGCGACAACTGATTGATTGAATGTTTTAGTGGTTGACTTGTAAATTTGTTGCTTGTGTGGTGGAATGAATTGTTATGCGGTTGACAAGCTGAGTGAGTGACACTTCATAAGAAAATATAGGGTGTTTCTACTGAATCTACCAATCGGTATATTCTCACCCAGTGTATTTATGTAAACGTGTATATGGGCTGATGATGGCCTTTGATACAATAAAACATCTTTGACTTTGACTTGACATTGACATAATTTCCGTAAACCCGATTATCTCAAGCCACCCACCACTTAAACAGTTGGTTCATTGTGGTATTTATGTCCTGAAAATAAATAGAACTGTCGTAACCGACATTGAAATATCTCAGACTGAAAGCAGAAACGCAGCCCATGGTCAGCTGTGTCCACTGGAAAGTCCACTGTGAATGGGGGCCTCCTCGATTGACCAGTCACGTCTCCCTTTGTACAGTGATATATTACTGAATGGAATTTAATACGCTGGATAATCGAGTTTACGTTTGCAAGTAATTGAACACCATCGCTTCTGAAATATTATGTGGTTAATCAATCCAGCACTTTATTTCCGTGACAAAGGGACAATATCTCGATCACTATAATTTGACAGGGTGTTTGTTTGTTGTCAGTGATATTCCAGATATATGTCGGCGGCCTGTAAATAATCCAGTCTCTACAAGATTATCCAATGAATGACGAACCACGATGTTGGGGTACGACGACATGTATGAACACAAACTCTGAAGCTCGACACCCGTACCCTTTGTATACCTGTTTAATCAAAGTGACCGTGAATCGATGTAATTTCTTCAAGCTGTTACAAGTGTACAATATGCACATTATTGATAACACAATAACGTGTTCGACATTAACATACACAAATGGACATATGGCGTTAGTGAGGTCAAGCCATTTCACCTGGGAGACATCGCTCGTGTGAAACTGCATCACCATGCTTTGTAGATCGGTTACCGTGACGTCACAATAAAGTGACATGAATGATGTACTTGCTTCTGAAGGTTGTTGGCTGATTGTTTTACTTTGGGGTTACAGGATAATCCAAACTTGTGTTTCCTTAATTTTTTTTAGTTTGCGTGCTTTTCGTTTGACGCCGCATTCATCGATACTGAAGCCATATGTCTGTAAATAATGAGACAATCCAGACATTGACATCATGAGCATCGATCTGCACAACTGTGATACGAATGACATACAATCAACCAAGTCACCCGATCTTGTCATTTGCCTCTCGCGAGAGGGATGATTTGCTGAAGACTAATCCTAACACGCATCGGCATAAATACCATTCTTGTTTGTGAACTTTTCTAATCAAAGAAACCGTGAAATTAAATGATTTTCTCCAAGCTGCAACAAATATAGAAAATGTACATAACTGATGATAGATTTAAAATGATTTTGGAGTAAAACTGGTCTCCGAAGAGGATACCGCTGGGCTGAGATCAAGCGATCCGCCCTTGTAGAGATGCTGCAGTGGATGTTGCATCACAATGCATTGTAGGCCATTCTGGTTACATCGGTTACTGTGACGTCAACATAAACTCACATGAGTAACCCCTCTTCCATCGAAGCCAAGGGCATTTTAGACTCATTAGATTACACTGTTTACACATAGTGAGTGAGTGAGTGAGTGAGTTTAGTTTTACGCCGCACTCGGCAATATTCCAGCTATATGGCGGCGGTCTGTAAATAATCGAGTCTGGACCAGACAATCCAGTGATCAACAGCATGAGCATCGATCTGCGCAATGGGGAACCGATGATATGTGTCAACCAAGTCAGCGAGCCTGACCACCCGATCCCGTTAGTCGCCTCTTACGCCTTTTGTGGCAAGCATGGGTTGCTTAAGGCCTATTCTACCCCGGATCTTCACGGGTCGTTTACACATAGACTCCCACTGTTTCAAAATTTATACTGTTATCGAGTCGTGTTGACATATTGTATATGAAAAGACTTTAGTGGAATTCTCTATATTCAATATAAAAACCCAGCTTGGTTACACAAGAGGTATCACGTACAATATTTTATTACTCTAGTATAATACCGCTAGACGTATGACGTCATAATGGTTTACAGTTATGGCGTCAATTTGGTCTCACTCACGGAAAGCTGAGAGTCATCACACATCGAAGGCAGTTTCTATTAGTTTATGTTGAAGTTTAAACTCGAAATACAATTTTTATTAAACTCGTGAAAGATTTAGCATCAAACGAGCGAAAGCATTAACTCGTTTAATAAAAATGGTATTACACGGAACGTCGTTTAGTATCCTCTATGCAACTGCTTCAAAATGCTTTGCTGAGCATTGTGACGTCATCAGTTACCATGACGTCACAAACGACATCAATACCCTATCGCGTCTGACGTATATATTGGTTAGCGACCCGTGAAGGTCCGGGTTGGGGTGGTCAGGCTCGCTGACTTGGTTGACACATGTCATCGGTTCCCAACTGCACAGATCGATGCTCATGCTGTTGATCACTGCATTGTCTGGTACAGACTCGATTATTTACAGACCGCCGCCATATAACTGAAATATTGCTAAGTGCGGCGTAAAACTAAACTCACTCACTCACTATATTGGTTAGCTATGCTCTTCGCAAGCACTGGTTATCGTTCTTTACAAGCTGTTGATTGTTTGTTTTGATATAACACTTAGCAATATTCTAAAGCTATATCTATGTTAGAAACTTGTATGCGATGACATGCATCAACCCTGTATAAAATGAAAAAATACCCCAACAAACAAACGTGTAGGAGGAATGATTTGGATAGTAAATGGAATCTCACAATCGTGTGTCTAAATTGATGTAAAATGTATCAATAATCGTCAATACGAACTCGATATATTTAATGAAAATAATAAAATATTCTACATATATACTTCCAGTTTACCCACCTATTATAGACAGGGGTTCATTAACTCTGGCCGGTAAGGGGCACATCTTATTCTATTGAAACATTTTGGATATATATATTCTATTGAAACATATATATATATATTCAAGATCACGTTGTCCATATTAAATCTAAACAGATCCCACACATGAGCTGAGCTGCCAAGTGCCAGTATCGCGCTAACTGTCTGGCGCAACACAAACTTGTAACCAGTGTATTTTCTTATCGTACGAGTTATTCACCTTTGCCGCCAGAGCACACTGACTACATCCGGCGCGGAATAGCTAAGGAAAACAAATCTGGGCACGTTTGAAATGACTCTAAGGATGCAGAACTACATGGAAAAACATAAGATAGGTCCTCTGTTTGAGGTAAGTAATAAAAGCAAGTTATTCAGATGGAAAAGGTAACGATGTCACGTGTGCAGCTACACATGCATTCACTATTTACAATCTGTTTGCCACTTTCTAATATAGGCTATGCATCTAAGTCTGTTTTACATGCCTACGGTGCAGGTTCTGTTATTTGCAACAGAAGAGTCTTTTTACTCATTAAATACTTGTGTATATGTCGCTGACTAGAAATAATGAATAACAGTTTCTTTTCGCAATTCAAATTATTTGTTTTATTTTGTCAAAATATTTAATGCAAATCTAGTTGTAGTCGGTTCATCATGTTCATTGTTTCACAATTACATGCCATAGTTTCTTCTGCTGTACATGTATACATGCAAGTTCATGATCTGTTCCATACAGGACCTCATGAACAAGGTGTTACGAGACATGCCTGAAGATCCCCTCGTCTATGTCCTGAGAGCAGTTTACAAGAAGGCTGGATTAGAAATTCCACAGGTAAGCTGAGGGTGTTTCAAGACATAACTTGTTATAATTAAAGGTTGGTGGTATGTTTGTAAGGAATATGCCATAATCATCTCCTAGATCTCAGAGGCTATCATTTGGGTAAACCTACAACAATCCCAGAGCTGTCAACCCCTAAAGATGGTTTAGAGTGAGACCGAAAAAAATAAGCCGGGGTCCAGCCGGGGTCATGTCGAGGGTGATGCCCTGGTGGGGGTCTCTGGGGGGGCGAAGCCCCCTGCCCCCGAAAATGAAGTTTAGTGATTTTCAGGAGCATTTGGAGCCTTCTGGTGGCATTATTTTGACACTAAAAGATGCATGCTAATAAATAATAATAAGCCGAATCATTCGCATAAACATCGTTTTAGTACTTCGTTCATTCAGGCGTTCTTTCAATGTTCAACTTTACGCAAAAACGAACGAAAATGCGTATTAATTTTGAAATTATTTTTGGCTACCAGATATGCGTGAGATTATTATTTGGAGGCGTGAGAGCGTGACATTCGTCAATAAAGCGTGAGACTCACGCCAAATGCGTGAGAGTTGACAGGTATGCAATCCATTTCCGTGCTCTTTTTTATTACAAATTGCCTGTGCTTGTTCTGTTTACTTTTTAACATTTTTATAATCAGTCAGATGTCAATAATAGGGACAGGGAGTGGGTAAGGGAGGTAACTTGTATTACCTAAAAACCAAAGCCACCTGTTTAACGAACATGAAAACATTCTTTCCATCAAAAACATTTTAAGGGCTTTCTTTATTTCAGTATTGGATTTTGTCACAGTTTTGGTCATATATAACTCACTGCTTCTTCACTGCATATATTGCCAGTCCAACATTGAGGCTGGTTTGTAACTTGCTATCTGACGGTTACGTTAGACCTAGTAGTGTAGGCCATCAAGTTTGTAGGTAGAAATTAATGGTGGGCAGTTTGAGATTGCGAGAACCACGAGAATGGATCCAGGGGTTAGTGCAGGTTTACTGAAGTGCGAATGTATTGAGGATGCTTAATAATTTGTACTGCTACTATTTACATTCAAGGCTTGAGGGCAGACGAAAATATTTGTTGTAACCTACTGCAACCCTAACACAACTGACCCTGAGGATTATGCATAGGTATTATCAGGTTATATACATACATATTTGTTTTCAAATATGTGATTAGGATGCTAATGGAATCAGAACAAGTTCTATAATCTTAGTGGCAAAGGAATCAAAACACTGTGTTTGCATAGTTACAATGCAACTTACATATTTCCTCTCGTCACTCACCACTGTATGTCACAGACTATATTAGGTGGCTCTTGTGAGAGCCCTAACAACCTGGCACATTGCTCCTGATATAAGATACTAGTTAGTCTGGTCCAGGGCCCAGATTTTCGAAGCTTTCTTAGCTCTAAGAAGTGCCATACATTAACATTAACTTACGACTATCTTAGCGCTAAGAGAGCTTCGAAAATCTAGGCCCAGGCTCATTAATCTGTGTAAATAAAGAAGCAGTTGATGTATGGTTGTCAAGTCGTTTCTTCTTTCAATGCAATATTTAGCATGTTTAGGTGCAGGTGCTTGTATCACTGTTTAGGTGCAGGTGCTTGTATCACTGTTTAGGTGCTGGTGCTTGTATCACTGTTTAGGTGCAGGTGCTTGTATCACTGTTTAGGTGCTGGTGCTTGTACCATTGTCAAGCAACAACTGAGTAGAAAATAGTTATGTTATTCAGAATTGAAATTTCAGAGATAAAACTTACAGTTTTCTTAGGGAATATCTGTGCTGCAATAACAGGAATCATGGAGATAAGTATTTTCCATTTTGAAGGAGTGTGAGTGTGATGATTGTTGTTAAATTCCAGGACATCAGGCATGGTGGTTTGAGGAGAAGTCCATCAGGCATGGGTGAGTATGATTATTATGAGTAATCAAAATAACTTGTTTTTGAAATTGTTTTTATAGAAAACATGTTTTATGTCTTTGACTTCCTCTGTGAACATTTGTATCAAATATGATAATAATGTGTGCATGTTTCTGATTATTGACGTGTTAATGTGATGTTCTTTCAGCACGTGGAAGAAGCAGGAGTCCAGACAAAATGCCAGTGTCCAGTAGTGCAGGTGAGTCCTGTTATTCTCATCTGTAGCAGGGGTGGAAATAACTTTAAAATTGCTAGTGTACTCCGGTACAGTGGCACATGTGAAATCACTTGCCCTGATAATTTTTCCACTATACCGGCCGTTTTCTTGTTGAATATTTTAAATAATTAACATAATTAACATTGGAAAGTCAACTGGACGCCGGTACAGTGTGATATACGAATTTGCTTGCCCGACAGAAACAACACTGGACTCGGACGTAGGGCAATGGGTTATTTCCACCCCTGTGCAGTTACCTTGGTTACGTGCATATCATTAGAGCTTATAAGCTGACTGTGTCCATGTCATAAGTACCATATGCTTGAATTTTGCGAACCTTTGATCTTAGATGCAGCTTTAGGAACGCGTGACTATGACAGACCATGGAAGTCACAGGCCAAGAGACTCAAGCCCAAAAAGTCCTCAGATGATGCAGAACTATCAAGATGTAAGTTTCAATATCCTTGGAATGGATAATATCTTCAGTGTTCATGTGTTTCTGTCCGTCTCACCAGGTTATAATAATTATGGTATATACCTGCCATATACCTGAAATCAGATTTATGTTGAAAATTTCTAATGTTAAAAAGAAACCAGTTCAGTTGACTTAGTATGTGAGACTCAGTATGGGAGTCTCCTGTCACCAAGACACAGATGTTTATAGTTTATTACATATGTATCACCACCTGTGTGTTGTGACAAAGTGTACAGTCACAGAATTCTTCATACAGCGAGTTGTTTCTACTTGTCCGACAAGTACTTGCCATCATCTCTCTGTCCTGATGCTTGGTAATCCTGTGTATTGCCAGACTGTCATGATACATACCCTCCACCCTTTTGTCATCTGTGAACATACAGACCCGTGAAGATCCGGGGTAGAATAGGTCTTCAGCAACCCATGTGCTTGCCATAAAAAGGCGACTATCTTGTCGTAAGAGGCGACTAACGGGATCGGGTGGTCAGGCTCTCTGACTTGGTTGACACATGTCATCGGTTCCCAATTGCGCAGATCGATGCTCATGCTGTTGATCACTGGATTGTCTGGTCCAGACTCGATTATTTACAGACCGCCGCCATATAGCTGGAATATTGCTGAGTGCGGCGTAAAACTAAACTCACTCACTCACTCACTCACTGTGAACATACATACATTATGGGAGTAATTTAATCATTTGTTCTGCACAACATTTCAATCATTATTGAGCTTAAAATGACAAGCCAGCCTGAAAGACTGAGCAAATGTTCTGTGCACATGGAGATCAAAATTGTTAATGGCAACCTTGGATGAGAGTAGAGGTGTTAACTTGTTCTCACTATACTTTTGTAAGTCTGGAAAAGAGGTTTGTTGTGTCTTAAGACTGACCGGGATGGAGGGGTAGCCTAGTGGTTAAAGTGTTCGCTCATCGCACCAAAGACCCGGGTTTAATTCCCCACATGGGTACGATGTGTGAAGCCCATTTCTAAAAGCGGCGTAAAACTAGACTCACTCACTCTAGACCATTTCTGGGGACAACAGGTCAGGTGGCGTCGGTGGCCCAGTGGTCTGAGGCAGTGCTATTTGCTGTGCAGAGTCGCGTCCATTGGCTGTGCCAGAAACCTGAGATTGTGGGTTGTAATCCTGGATTATGTTTCTTTCTTTGTCATCACCATAACCGTGTTTGGGGTTTCTGCAAAGTGGTAAACATTTAAGACCTGCATCACTTGGGCTTTCCTCCCACATAATCTGGAACACTGGAAAATGGAGTGTAATTTGATTGGGTAGCTGTTTTTGTCATATCATTCAAGGGTCAAGGGTGTATATCATGACAGGATGGCAATATGATTCCCAGGATTGTCAAGCATGCCATGTCATCAAGATTTTACAATTACTCAAATTTCAGCTCAGAGCTCCAGGCTCCACTCCACCCCTCTCAGTGACAGCACTGTAGGGGAGTTGCTTAGAGTGACCCCGGTCAAACTGGGCAGGTGTTATTATGTTATCAGCATGTTAGTCTGCCTGGCACACCAGGTCAAGGAAATAGTGTCAGATATTGGTGCATGGTGGCAGCTGCTACTAATATCAATATGGTGGATGGCTTGCTTTAGTATAGAATGAAGACCAGTCTCCTTATACCCAGTACAATCTTGCATAGCCAGTTCATTGAAGAAAGCACAACCATTATGATTTAACAGAATCATTATGAAGTATTTTGTACCAAAATCCTTTAGTACGAATAAGTTAAATATCTTGCACATTTTGTAATACAATATTGCAAGTAATGTAGTAATTGACTTTAATACTGACCATCAGGCACATACAGATGGTAAATAATATATTTGTAATAATATGTTTGTCTGTGACCAGAGGGTTTAAAAGGAGATTGGATGGTCACAGGAGAAACCAGTGATTCCATATGATTAGTCATGCTAAGTACTAATTTCATAACCCAATTATCCTGAACATTTTTAGTTACCTCAGTTATTGGTTGCTGTCAGCCTTTGACATAAGTGCATGTTAAAGACAATGATGATATTCCTCACAGACTACCGGTAGTAGCATTTTAGGGCTATGCGTATGATTCTGAGCCATTTGCCAATGCTTCATTGAATAAAAGCAAATATGCAATCATAGGAGCATTTGTGTGTCATTTCTCATGGAAGCATGACTGTCTTCAAACTTTTGAGGACCTCCAACTGATTACATTTGTCTTGAAAATATAATTTTCTGAGGCTGTTTTATACTGGATTAAAGTATGAGGTACTTATTTGTAGATACACCTGACATGTTCAGCTGGTAAAAATATGGGTAGGACTACAGAATACCAGATACCTATCGTTATCTTTGACACTTTGAAAGCACACAGGTTTACTTTTGGTTAGGATTAGGGTAAGGTTTAGGGTCAGGATTAGCGTTAGGGTGATATGACGCTAAACAATATGGCTGGAAGGTATCCGGTATTCTGTAGGTGTACCAAAATATATAGAAATAAGTGTAGTCAGGAGTGTGTCAGTGTATGTATGAGTGTAAAATTGTTCCCTATAGCAGTGAAAGAACCCACATGAATTTTGACACATGTTTTACCATGAAATATAATATCTCGCTATCTGTTTATGTGCTTAATTCATTATCAGCTGGTCCCTAGTATGGTGATCTACCTTTGGTTGTTGGTGATCTATAGCCCATTTTTATACTGTCTTGTCCTAATTTGACATCCAATTTTAGAGAGATATGCTAGTTTTATTCTCAATACTGTGATATTCTACTTTACTGTCCTTTGTAGACAGGTTTTTTATAATTTACATGTATTTTTGGTTAATTTGAAACTTGTTTTAGTCACGATATGGCTGAAATATTGCCGATGTGACTGTACATTTTAACTCACTCACTCACTCATTATCAGCTGTGATGGAGAAGTTTTCTCTGTGATGGAGAATCTCTACTTTAGCATGTTGAGAAGCCAAAGACATTGCAACAATGATGTCTCTAAGTCACAGTAATATGTGCATTATGTAACCGTACACTATAGAGCATGCTTTATATATAGTAACATGCTTGTGTTAAGCCATATGGTTGTAAAATATAGATAACAGTAAGCCATGATGCACAACAAGGTATTGAACATTAAACATGAACATTAAGTATTATAATGCTGTAAGCTGGGAACTGTTTTTAGTGGAATAATAGCAATTAGTTTCACTTCAGGTACACTATAAAGACTACTGAATGGTTGGTGAAGGAATGGAATCTCTTCCATATAAAACTTGGTGAAGGAACAATTTTGAGAATTGTGTCATATATGTTTGTTTTGGGTTATCAATAACATTGAATGAAATAGGTTTTCATGAAAGATGGTCTGGCAACAGAGTATTTTATGGAGTCAGTTTCAGATATATGTAAATGCAAAGATACATCTGGCTGCAGAGAGATATTGATGATTAAGTTTCAACAATGTTAGAACTGCAATTTTGAGTCCTTATCAAACAGGTTTCTGTGACTCCAATATTTGAGATAGAAATATCACAGCTTAAGAGAAAAGAAAGATATAGCTGGCCAGTCCGGCTACCTAGATTTTCTGTTCTCCAGCTGGTAAGAAAGAAGGCAGGTTCATTGTTGTAGACACACATTGTGGAAGTGACATATCAGGAAGGATAGGCATGCGGCAGGATATTGCATCTCAGAGATCAGGCATGAGGCGTTTTGTGTGGTTCCATAGCATGTGCATTTTACTGGGAACTATCATGACGTCCATTTTGCATGAAGAACATAAGTGCAAGGTTTTGTGTTAAATATATTTCAAAATGATTTGAATGTCTAGTTATTGACTTAGCTTTAACCTAATACATTACCTAAGGCGTCTGGTACTCAAATGCTTTAATATATTAAGTACTAAACACATGATAAAGAATGTATAGTTGTTAGGCTTTGCCAAGGTCAGAAAAGTCCCTGCGTGGCAGGAAACCAGAAATTTTGACACAGTGACCACACATTTCATAAAAATACAGGCCTACAAGTGTTGGTGCATGAGAAATCCCATTTTGTATTTTTGAGCACATTGCTTTTATTATATAGGGTAAATTAGGCCTGTATGTATGTTGTAAGTATGAGCCTGGTGACTGTTGTACATAGTTACCTATGTACAGATGTAAAAACATATTGGAAATTTAGGCACTTGTCATACTTATTTCATGTTCATTCATGGTTTTCAATTCATGCTGAGAATGTTCAAATGGCAATGCTAACAGCAAGGATTGTTACATTGTTGTTGCTAAACTGCTGACTACATATCCAGGAGAGCAACATTGCCTTGGCATTGTTTTTACTTCATCCATTGAAGGTAGCTGCTCCGTTTTGTAGTATGTAATGAGAAAGTGCATGACATTACAATGAAGTATATGAACACAAACTGACAAACAGAATGGAGGCTTACATTTACAGTAATCACATAATTAACCTACCTTATATGCTTGACACTTGTACATAATTGCTTTGAAGCATGAAACCAAATGGACGATAAATGCTTGATGTATATCCATAATAAAATGAGATTATGGAGACAGAGATAAAGTTTGGTGTATGGTTAACGTAGATATTTTCACCCATACATCTGCTGTCCTAAAGTTTCATAGGTTTGGAATTACCTGAAATTCAAATGTTGTTGTGCAAGGGAAGTAACCCTTTGACTTGGATTTCCTTAAACAGCATTCTTTCAGTTTAGCTTTACTTTGTTTCTGGCTCTTTTAAGACAGCACTTAGAACAAATACAATATATTTTAAAATTTCATTTTAATGATCAACCCACTGGGGAAGCCAACCTGAAAACCCACTAATTTGAAAGAGGGGTCTTATCCATAATTAACAATCACAAATAAAAATTGTATAAGTCGGGCTCATAAGTTTTTAGTGTGATGAAAACTGATGCTTCAAGATAGTCATCTGGTTCATTGATATTAATACCAGATGGTTTCTGATCTATATCAACAAGTATCTCATGTGTGTTACAATAGCTCGGCGCCAGAGACCAGACTGGAACAGTGATGTGAAGATGAAGACAACATCGTTCGATGAGCTGTGGGAAGATCCATCTCCTATGAAGAGAGATGACCCAGTACGATCAGAGACTGTCGGGATCATGAAGAAATCCTGGGCCAGGGTGGGACTGGATGTAAGTTGTGCCTGGGTCCCATATTGCATTATGTAGACTTCATTCTTTGTCATTTGGTGTCCAAGAGTTTTACTGGTTTCACATCACTGCACATGCGACGAAGCTACAAGATAATTATTAGTATTATTTCAGTGTTTTGCAAAATGGATTGTTTACACTGCAGATGCATTTTGCTCCTAAATAGAAATGTCTGTCTGGGATTTTGATAGATTTATTGTTTCAAAGAAACATTCATTCAACAGATCAGGTTGTAACTTGTATGAATTGGTTGAAATCTCACAATTGATGATTGCTTCATTACCAATGAGAAATCATCGAAAAAAATTGGTTAGCGTCATTTCTCAGATTTTTCTATTCAGGTTGTTATTCCTGATATGTATAACATGATGCAACTTGCTACTTTAAAGTGATGACTAATATTTCATGAACATAAACTTCCCAGAGTCTTCAACAAATATTAAGTCATGACTTTTCAGTTAGTGAAGTAAGTTTTCTAAGAATTAAACACATTTTCAGGCCCTGACAACCTCGAATATATATTCCATCGACAAGAATTTCAAAGACTAAAACAGTTGTTCCAAAATCGTTTGTGTTCGATTGTGTTTGTTTCTGTGTTTTCTGTAGGATAAGACCCTGAAAACAAACACACAATTAATATTTCGTGACAATTGTACGATTATTCCCCCAGGACGAAGATGACAACATATACAGCAGCAACAAATACACAGGTCCTCGCCACGCCCACTTTAAGTCTGACGAGGATCTCCTGGCCGCGGAGAATATTGTGTCATCTCGCAAGGCCAACGTTCACCAGAAGAAGACTGAAGGGAAGAGGTGAGCTGCACTACATGTCATTTACATCCTGAAATGGTGAAGTGAAATTAGTTTCTAGACTTTTGCGCTTACATAGCCTCCTACATGCACTTGTGTGTGTGTCTATGCGTGCTGCATGAGTACTGTCAGTTATAATCTGCTATCCTTATGAGGTAACATGCCTCAATTTTTAATGGATACCCCAGTCACACACTTTATACTTGTTGGTACTTGCCGATCACTGCTTCAGGATGATTGTACCTCTCATGCTAGACCGCCTCTGTGGTGTAGTGGTTAGAGCGTCTGCCTGGAGAAGGTCGCGGGTTTGATCCCCAGCTGCGCCATACCAAAAGACATTAAAATATGGTACTTGTTTGTCCCTGCCTGGCGCTCGGCATTAATGGGTACAACAAGGACTGGTCGCCTCGGAGTCAGTATAATGTGTCTTAGTGGGATGTTCGTGCTTAACTGCGGCATGGTATCTCACCTGAGCTAGCACTATAAAATCAGCTTAAGTCTGGGCTAGTACAAGCAGCCACACATACACACACATGCACGTTGTCATATGAGCAAAATATTCTTAAGAGCAGATGTTAAACCCCATTTCACCACACCTCACCTCACCTCTCATACTTTAACTTTGACTTCCCACAGTCATTGTTCAGAAACATATAACTCCTTAGTATTAAGACATGCAGAACTCCTATACTTTAACATTGAGGTATGACTTGTAGGGTTATGATCACATTGTAGTACAGGGACAAATGATTTGCTACAAGGGAATGCACTAATTGCTTTCCTGTCTCTTTCTGTTTGCCGATTATCATGTTTGGGAAATACTCACAGAAAATGGATGTAGTAGCCAGTACCACATTGAAGGTGGATAAGATTTACTGTCAGTATTAAGGCTTTAAGGGATGAAGATGTTTGATCTAGAGATGTTGATGTCTGTTTAAAGCAAATCATCTCGAAGTCACAAACTCAATGCTGCACAACATCGTCAGGAGCTGGAGAAGTTGTTGTTACAGTCGGAGAAGAGGTCTACAGATTCGGGCTACACGGAGGAACCAGGGGAGGACGATGAAGCCTTAGAGATGCTAGGTGAGACGATCGTGATGTTGGGTCCTCATTGCAGCTCATGTGACAGCCTATTTGTGATGTTTCCTGCCAGAATATTTCTATAAGAAGCCAAACGCAGACCTGTGTTTTTAGTCATATCTCTTTGTCCATTACACCCGTGAAGGTCTGGGTTAGAATATTCATCTTCAGTAACGCATGCTTGTCGTAAGAGGCGACTAACGGGATCGGGTGGTCAGGCTCCCTGACTTGGTTGACACATGTCATCGGTTCCCCATTGTGCAGATCGATGCTTATGCTGTTGATCACTGGATTGTCTGGTCCAGACTCGATTATTTACAGAACGCTGCCATAATATTGCTGAGTCCGGCGTGAAACTAAACTCACTCACTCACTCACTTTGTCCATATGCTGACTTTGAGTCTCATTGCTATTATAACAACATGTAGATCATATTCAACAATATATCCCTACTGGTTAGATTTTGTTCCCAAAGTGGGTTGCAGTATTTCCTAAATGCCTTGTTGAATATTGGATGATGTTTATATATGGTGTCAAGAATAACGGTAACTTTCTAATCAGCCAGTCACTGTCAAATTCTCAGTACTAGCAAGCATTCAGACCTGCATATCTGGAAAACTATGTTATCAACAATATCAACTGAAAATGCTGTGCCATTAGATTGTAGTGGATGCTCTTTATCCACCTTCTTGTATTTGAGCACCATGACAGCAATGCTTCATGGGAGTACCAGTACCATCAAAGGACATCTGTATGGTATTGTCTTTCAGAGGATGCTGATGATTTGAGACGAGAAGGAGTGACCAACATCCCAGCTTCAGGCTACAGACTCAGTAAGGTCGGTAGAGAGAGTAGAACATCTTGTGGTACCCAGTGCAGTTGCACATATTTGTCCTTGTCCTTGTCGTTCGGCTGAGAATCTTGGCAGAATTAGTCCTTAGAAACGTTCTGTGGAGATTCCATGTAGAATAAGTCCTTAGAAACGTTCTGTGGGGATTCCATGTACAATCGGTGCAAAGAAACTTTCTGTGGGGATTCCATGTACAATCGGTCCTAAGAAACGTTCTGTGGGGATTCCATGTACAATCGGTCCTAAGAAACGTTCTGTGGGGATTCCATGTAGAATAAGTCCTTAGAATTGTTCTGTGGGGATTCCTATACAATTGGCCCTTAGAAACGTTCTGTGGGGATTCCATGTAGAATTCTTCCTTAGAAGCATTCTGTGGGGATTCTTAGAAACATTCTGTGGGGATTCCATGTAGAATTGGCCCTTAGAATTGTTCTGTGGGGATTCCATGTACAATCAGTGCTAAGAAATGTTCTGTGGGGATTCCATGTACAATCGGTCCTAAGAAACGTTCTGTGGGGATTCCATGTACAATCGGTTCTAAAAAACGTTCTGTGGGGATTCCATGTACAATCGGTCCTAAGAAATGTTCTGTGGGGATTCCATGTACAATCGGTCCTAAGAAACGTTCTGTGGGGATTCCATGTAGAATAAGTCCTTAGAATTGTTCTGTGGGGATTCCTATACAATTGGCCCTTAGAAACGTTCTGTGGGGATTCCATGTAGAATTCTTCCTTAGAAGCATTCTGTGGGGATTCTTAGAAACATTCTGTGGGGATTCCATGTAGAATTGGCCCTTAGAATTGTTCTGTGGGGATTCCATGTACAATCAGTGCTAAGAAATGTTCTGTGGGGATTCCATGTACAATCGGTCCTAAGAAACGTTCTGTGGGGATTCCATGTACAATCGGTCCTAAAAAACGTTCTGTGGGGATTCCATGTACAATCGGTCCTAAGAAATGTTCTGTGGGGATTCCATGTACAATCGGTCCTAAGAAACGTTCTGTGGGGATTCCATGTAGAATAAGTCCTTAGAATTGTTCTGTGGGGATTCCTATACAATTGGCCCTTAGAAACGTTCTGTTGGGATTCCATGTAGAATTCGTCCTTAGAAGCATTCTGTGGGGATTCTTAGAAAAATTCTGTGGGGATTCCAGGTAGAATTGGCCTTTAGAATTGTTCTGTGGGGATTCCTGTACAATTGGCCCTTAGAAATCCTTTACGATTCCATGTAGAATTCGTCCTTAGAAGCATTTCTGTGGGGATTCTTAGAAACAATCTTTGGGGATTCCAGGTAGAATTAGGCCTTAGAAGTGTTCTGTGGGGATTCTTAGAAATGTTCTGTAGGGATTCCATGTAGAATTGGCCCTTAGAAACTTTCTCTGGGGTTTCATGTCGAATAAGGCCTTAGAAACGTTCTGTGGGGATTCCATGTAGAATTGGCCCTTAAAAACGTTCTGTGGGGATTCCTTGTCGAATAAGTCCTCAGAAACGTTCTGTGGGATTCCATGTAGAGATGGTCCTTAGAAACCTGCGATTACTCTGTTGGAATTCTGTGCAAAATATGTCCCTAGAAACCAGTGTTTGTTGATTTGAAGGGATTCCAGGCAGAATAGGACCCAGTACACTATGCATGACTTGAGGGCTGATGGTGATCCCTGGGTTACTGTGTAACTTAGCTGATTATCTGTCCTTGTAGTATTTGTATCCTTTCAGCTTGGTCATTTCCTCACTCTATCAACCACCGGTTTATTGACCATTACGATTGTAGTAGAATTTATTAATATTTATGTAAAATTTTCTGTTTCGCAGATCATGCGTCAGCGACGATCAGAGCCAACTGTAAAACTGAACATCAAGTAAGTATCTTCATGTTACTTCACAGGGTTTCTGTCATGATTTTATCATAACCGTGAAATATTCCTTATGTTCATCAGAAAGCATATAGCATATTGGCAGTAGTAACTGTACTGTCTGAATTACAACAGTGACTTTGTTGATTTAGGTTTGGTAGATGGTATCCTCTGATTTGTCGGACATCCCAATAGTCAGACATATATGGGTGTTGCCCTAATTAATCCCTAGTCCAGTGTCTGACAATTGGGATGTCTAACTAATGGGAGTAAATCTGATAGACAAGTAATTCAACTTATATGTAACATAACAATGCATTCTGTTCAATGTTAGCCATGAAACATATCTGCATTTGTTTTCATCCACTTTGTGTTATCTTAGACCAATAACAGTTTCCAAGAGTGAGTACATAGAGTTTGCATTAGCTCAAATGGTTATTGTTTGTTCACACTGTTGTTTATATTCTGAAAATAGCTTCTTTGAATCCTTGTTGACTTTGCTTGCACTTGGTTGTTTTTCCTTGTTCTTATTTCTTCTGCAAGTTGAGCGTTTACTGGATGTTACAGAAAACATTTAACTCAGAATAATAATCAATATCTATCCAAAGAAAGGTTTGTATGGGTTGGATAAATTGATTTGAGTCAAACTACATCAGTATTCAACATTAAGAATGAAGTAAGTTTTCAAGGACCCTTTACCACAATTAAACACTGTGTCTGTTATTTTTTTAATTCAATTCATTTCTTAAAACTCATGGTACCAAAGAAAATGCATGATTACACAGGAATTTCTTAAGTCTGATTGTAGAACACATTGTTCCTAAGTACCTGTGACCAAGTTCACAAGGAGGTTTTGATACACAAGTATTTTGAGTCTGCGTTAACCCATCTGAATCCCAACAGTTGTTGTCTTTGTGGAGCCAGGCTATGATTGGTATGCTTAGTATAGCTTACATTAGTATGTGTAGATCCTGTAGTAGTGTAGAGGAATGTACAGACACTGCTGCAAGGTCCTTCACTGACCACCAAACAGTAATCTAAAAGACATCAGAATCACAAAAATGCTGTTTTTATGAGAACAATTAAAAAGAATGACCAATTTGCAGCAAAGTACAAATTGCACTGCTTGTCTAATGATGTGTTGTGGTAGTTATCTCCCCTGTCTAACTCTCTTACCCCGTGGTCTCTACGTCTTCCAGTCTTTACCCACGGCCTGAGCCAGCACCCTCAGTACAAGGTATGTCAGCTACCATGCCTTCCTCTACACTGTGTGGCAGACAATATGTCCGCTGTTTTTATGTCAGAATTTCTCAAAGATAAAAGCGTGCTTTGGACATATATTTCCTCTTTGTCACAAGTTTTTATAGTGTTCTTGAATAACTTTACTACTAACATCTCCTTACAGGTACATTTTTATATTTTCTCTCCTTATTAAAATATCAAAAACAGTTGCATCAGTAATTGTTTTGTTGTGTTGAGTGTTTTAGTTAATGTGATAATTTTTGTTTCTTGTTTGCCTATAGTGCCAAAGTGTTCTTAGCTTGTCTCATTCAGATAATGTTATAAGACGTGATTTGCATGATGCATAGATAGGTTGTATGTGCAGAGGATGTTTGTATTGTGTATTTATATGTATCTACCAAAGCCTTATAAGGCAATTAAGAAATGTATGGACATCAATTACATAATCAGATATCTTGTTTTGTGATCATATATGCCTAATCCAAATATGATGATCAATTTTTCAGAAAATGTTAAAATAAATATTGAGAAAATATGCTTAAATTCTTTTTTAAAAGAATCCCTTTCAACATATTATATTAGAAGTTCAATTGTATGGTATTTAATGATTATCTATATGAGGGTTTCATTCATGACTCTGTTGAGGAAAATATGTTTCATGTTTTTAGAAGTATGTTAGCTGCAGGGAACTTATTTGTCCAACAAACATGGCTCTAGAATCATATGAGTCTTGTGTAGTCTTGAGTCCCCATGGGATTGAGTTGATGGTGCAGACCTGCATCTGAGGATCACACATGTAGCAGTGGTTGGGAAAGTATGTCAGTATCTAATGTAGTCATAGCAGTATTTTATAAGGTTAAAGGTCATATCACTTCTTCATGACATATAATATGCATTGCTGATTATGAAAAAAATAAATAAACAAAGTTATAAAGCATTATAATAACGCCAATCAAAAGTGCAATATTTTGTGCTTGGGTTTACCTTCCTCAAGCACGAAGCAGCGGGATACCGAACCCAGTCACAGCTGCGGATGGTGTGCACTCAAGTGTAACGGCTGGTTCATTAGCAGATGCCGCCAGCGTCTCACTGTGATAATATATATAGAAAGTTGGGTTTGTAAATACATGCTCATTTTGTGTATAACATTTTACAATCAACAGACATCATAACATGTCATGTGTTCAAGTATCACACCTGCCTGTCTGTGTAATTACATAATGTGACAGAGACCGAACTCGGGCCATAAATCAATGCGTTTTGTTTATGTTGTATAGCCTGATTGGTGTTAAGTTCAAATTACATGTGGTCAGTGATCGCAGTTGTGTATTGAATATTGTCATTAGCAGACAGGCAGGCAGACACACAAGTGTCAATAAAACAAGACATTGAGTTTTGTCTGTTACAGCGACATATCTATATCACAGTTAGAAATTGTGTCAACTCTAAATAATGACATTGCTTTTAAGTATCGAACTGAGAAAGTGACTCGGTAAGAAGAACGTGTGGTGAAATAGACAAATGAAATTATATAAACAGTTTATTTACTGTCATAACATACAAAAAGCTCGCGCCTGTGAGATATCAACAAAACATTATGAAATAGCTCACACCAAAACCTTCACCGAGTATTCACCAGACATCCCACTTCAAGTTCTGCGAACCTGTTTCAAAATTGTAAAACGTTTGAACTCGCTTGATTTACATACGTTTTTTTTTCATTTTTCATCGTTATTTTTCAACTTTATAAGTTAAATTTGCATTTTTGACGATTTGTTTCGGTAAGTCCATACCGAAAGGTATCAGAATCTGCAAAGTTGTGTTTTATGTTGCATGTGACCTTTAACTAGTCATGAGCTGCTGTGTATGAGAAGTGATCCTCCAGGCCCAGGTCGAGCATCCTGGAGTGTCTCCTCATTGCCCTGCTCACCTTCAGCCACTAACTAGATCATCCGTAACACCCAGTGTTTTTCTTTAAGGGGAGCCACATGAAGAGTATGGAGTGTACGACTCTGACATGGAGTACAGGCCACGCAGAGGTCAGTTGTCTGGAGACTTGCCTCACATATTGTAATAAAGATTCTTTCATATTGCTGTAGTCAATCTGTGATGACATGTTATTACCACCAGATTCTTCCTTAGTACTGAAATCTTTCAATCCATGCTAATTACAAACCTATATTACTGTAGGCGGTCTGTCATGTCATGTCAATTACCAGCCTATATTACTACAGGCGGTCTGTCATGTCATGTCAGTTACCAACCTATATTACTATAGGCGGTCTGTCATGTCATGTCAATCACCAACCTATGTTACTATAGGCGGTGTGTCATGTCATGTCAATTACCAACCTATATTACTATAGGCGGTCTGTCATGTCATGTCAATTACAAACCTATGTTACTATAGGTGGTCTGTCATGTCATGTCAGTTACCAACCTATATTACTATAGGCAGTCTGTCATGTCATGTCAATTACAAACCTATGTCATAGGTCATGTCATGTCAATTACCAACCTATATTACTATAGGCAGTCTGTCATGTCATGTCAATCAATTACCAACCTATATTACTATAGGCGGTCTGTCATGTCATGTCAATTACCAACCTATATTACTATAGGCGGTCTGTCATGTCATGTCAATTACCAACCTATATTACTATAGGCAGTCTGTCATGTCATGTCATATATTACTATAGTCATTCTGTCATGTCATGTCAATCCTATATTACTATAGTCTGTGCATGTCATGTCAATTACCAACCTATATTACTATAGGCAATCTGTCATGTCATGTCAATTACCAACCTATATCAGTCATGTTAGATACAACCTGACATTACTGAAGTCAGTCTGACATTCCATGACATATTATCTGTAGTAATATGAAAGAATCGTATATACAAGGACAGAGACCATGATGATTCCTATCTGGTACACAGCTTGTGTAAAACCTTTTTAGGAGACAGTTGTTCTCCCTATGGCTAGTTTTGGCACTATCGTAATATTGGCAACCTCCAACCCTGTTTTATGGTATTTTAGTCGAGTTTAAATTTGCATCATGGTGATTTTTTAAAACATTTGAACATGTTGAAGATGTTGTTTCAGGAAGTCCGTCCGGGTTGAGAGTGATGATGAGTTTGAGAGCGTATCCCAGGTGACGGGCCCGGTAAGTGTAAGTCATCACTTTTCACATCACTGTTGTTGTTGTAGACACAGCTTTCACACTGCCATTGTGTCTCTCCTGGATGACTGTCTGTTTGTTTAAAGAAACAACTAAACTGGATTTGGAGGTCACAGTAGCTCGATTGATTAACTTTCATGTTTTGGATGGTGCTCACAATGTCGACCTCTGGTTTATCTGGCCCAGAATCTATTGCAGAAGCAATTTAGATCTAATATTGATGACTGTGATGTAGAATGGCACCTGAATCTTCTTGATACTGAACAGGATTGCATGATCAAGCATCTTAAGTGCATTATGTCCATTTCCATGAGACACCACAATATCTTGCTCATCTTCCGTGTCTCCAGTTTAGTGTGTTGATGTATGGCTGATGTTTTGTGTGTGGTTTTCTTTGAAACGAGTGATTTTCTGCTGTGCTTTACGTGCCTGATATTTATTTACAGTATTGGAAGTCTATGCATATTCACTGTGTACATCAACAGACCTACCCATGAAAACCAGCAGAGAATGAATTTTGGACACTTTGAATAGAAATAGTTACACAGATTACAGATTAGACAAATCTCCATAAAGTGTACATCATGGGCATTATATAATATAATCCATCACATTTTCAAAGGAGACCCAAACAAACTGAATTAGTGCATGACTTACTGTGCATGATTTGGTTCCATGGAAAATGTGTCTGGTTTTAATAATACAAAGCACACGTTAGTCTTTAGTCTTGTTTCTAACGTGTGTGCCTCTCTATTTTAAGTGTACATATTCCATAGTTTGGTTAAACTCCGGTTTTCACTGGTAGGCCTGATTTAATGCAACTAAATGTTATTATGAATCAATTTGCTAGTTTGATCTGGTTCATCATTCAATATATACAACTAAGCATTCTTATAAATTCATCTTCAAATACAAACTGTTCAATACTGCCATCTTGATAGATTTCATATATCATGACCTATATAGTGGATTAATTTGATTGCTGAACATGGTATTTCAATGTTGAGATCAACTTTAAAGTCACTGAATCACTACAGCTGTACTCTATACCACCTGAATGTGGTTGGGACTAGTTCAGTAGTTGTGCTTCTCTTCCGACTGCTAACATTGTTGATGGTTCTTTCAGAGGCGCCCTGTGTGGAATGTTCCTGATTCTGATGGTAAGTGTACATATTCTTCACTTGAACAACTTACCCTGCTAAAATTCACGCATCATAAACAAATAAATGGCCTGTATTACCTTGTTATGAAATATGTATATGTATATAAAATGGCCTTACCAGAGACTTACCAGATGTTATCAGATAAAACAGAAATTCATTAAATGACACGGAACGCATTAGCCCAAAACATACTAAGTTGCCCATCCGGGGATTCTCGCAGGGAATAACTGCTCATATCTGTCATGTCAGCCATGTTGATAATTCAATAACTGCTTGTTATCATCACATGACCGAATGGTTTGCTGCATGATATGGTGCAGTATGTGTCAGTGTAAGTATCCCACATGATGTCAGATATACAGGAGAGATGATCAGGGCAGGATAACAATTTGACTAGAGGACAAATACCAGAAAGTATCCTTAATAATACCATGGATACCATGCATGTGTGTGACATATTTCATTTTTGTGTCAACAGGAGAAAGCTACATACCACGTCCTGCGTTCTCCACTCCGCAACCAAGCAAGGCCAAGGGGAGACCATCAAAGCACAGGTGTGCATACGTTATGTTTATGTAATCCTGCTTCGTTCGATCCCAGGTTGATATTGATATTGTTATTGTGAGATTTGAAGATAAGCCTTCTATTATGAAAATGTATACACTAAGGCTTCAAGGGTCTTTTTCTTTCTTGAATGGAGATCTGCTACAATGGAAATTGAGGTCTAGTACATTGGAAAATCAAGGATGATATTTATATAATTAGTGCTAAGAACACTTGCACATGTTGTATGATACACTAAAAGATGGGCATGCTTCTGAATACAGAAACACCATTCAATAAGAAGTCTGACTTGAGCATGAGGTGGGTTTATTATGAGGGGTTATGTGTTGTGTTTTAGCATCCTCTAGTTACCACATGTGTGTTTCCACAGACACCTCTCCTCCACTGGTCCAGCTAGGTACAACATCCAGAGTCCTGGTCGGTCACTGGAGAGTGTGGATGACTTTACACAGGAGGGTGTGAAGACATGGACGCCAGGAGTTGGCACCTCTCATCAGGTAATACATTGTACTTAGTCTGGTCTCTGGATGTGACTCAGTACCAGTGACCATAAAACTGATGTTAGTAATATTAGGGAATGTTACTCAGTCAGTTGCAGCCACAAAGACAATCTCATCTATACTACCCGTCAAAAGTTTAGACTCACTTAAAGTACTCACTATATGTTATATATATACATATGGTTACATCGAACATGAATTCCTCCACTAACTTGGGGGAACCAACTGCAATATTTATGCAGATGAATTGCACGATGATCATACATAGAATTGCTGAAAAGCATGTGCAAATATCGTGCATGTGAACAGCTGCGGTTTGGTGTAAAGTTTTGTTAAGAATTCGCCAGTTTCATCGTTTATTGAACTCATGACAATAATCTCTTCAACGTTATGAAGTGTTTTACAATACATCAGTTCATGTGTAAACAAACCTTAAACAGCATGAAATATTTTGCAAAATCTAGTTTAGAACAGTTGGCTGAAGTAAGTGGCTACATTTACACTAGTGAGTCTAAACTTTTGATGGGTAGTATATGTCAAGCTATGCGTTTGTCTCTGATATCATTTTCCTTTACTCCAGTGTTCTAAGTTTTCACTGTGTTTCCATCTTTGGGCTTCCACAACTCCTGTGTTAGTGGGTTTGAATCCTGTATGGTCTTACAATGATTCTTGGTTTGTCGACATTATGTCCATGCTTGTGGACTCCATAAAACTGGAGTCTCATAATTGGGCATTCTTGAACACAATTCAAGCAGGGTTAATCACAATTTTAGCAGAATTAATCACAAATCAAGCAGAGTTAATCACAATTCACCACTTACTACTACTAACCTACACAGTTGTCTATGACAGAGATTGATGTCCCCTGATGGAGACAATGAGGTCCGAGAGTCCTTACAGTCGGCCCGTGGGGGATGGACATTTCCGGATGATTCTGATGCCAGTTTCACAGAATTCAGCAACAGTAAGTCACTTCTGTGAATAGCCTTGCTTGTGTTTTGATCAACTAGATCTTGAGGACATGATGAGAACTGAAATTCTTAGATGATATTACTACCATTTCAGTGGTCTTTTGGTTGGTATCACAAGTTTTCTAGAGACTGGTCTTTTCTTCTTTCAGGGAAGGGATCATCACGAGAACCACGAGGTAAGTTGTACCTGTAAGCCGTACTGGTAAACCCTACCTGTAAGCCAGACCTGTAAGCCAGACCTGTAAGCTGGATCTGTTTCTTTAACTCTACCAAAGCAGCCATAGGGATAATGTTAACTTGGTATAGTACTTATGGCAGTTATCGCCCAGTACTTATGGCAGTTATCGCCCAGTACTTATGACAGTTATCGCCCAGTACTTATGACAGTTATCGCCCAGTACTTATGGCAGTTATCGCCCAAACAACTAACCTTGTAACCTGACCTTCACTTACACACCTGGGAGGTGGGGTAGCCTAGTGGTAAAAGCATCACACCAAATTCCTGGGTTTGATTCTCCATTTCACTTTCACACATGTATTGAGATACAGGTTCTGCTAATATTTTTATCAAAGCTATATTACATGGAAGGTCTTGATGTTCTTTTGCCATGACAAGATCCTCATATTGAATCTCGTATTCTTGCCACTTATGGTCCTTGTTTTGTCCCCACCAAACCTATGAAGTAGGAGTGAGTGAGTGAGTCTGGTTTTCCGCTGCTTTTAGCAATATTCCAGCAATATCATGGCGGGGGACATCAGAAATGGGCTTCACACATTGTACCCATCTGGGGAATCATACCCGGGTCTTCGTTGTGACGAGCGAACGCTTTGTCCGCTGGACTACCAGACCGCCCCATGAACTAGGAGGTTCATCAAGGTGATCATTAGCCTATGACCTAGGAGTGATCCACAACTTTTGTCATTAGGGCTTTCCTCAAACGTCCGACTTGAAATGCTGTGAAACAACTGCAATACTGTTTTCTCTTTTCAGCATACTGATCAAGGGGAGATAACCACAGACTGACAACTGTTAATGGATGGTTAATTTGGAACTTGGTTACAATAAAATGTTATTTCAGATAATACATTGTTACTTGATAGGTTTACATGATACCTTTTTGAATTATCTCTATATCCATTTTTGTACTAAATTTGTATTTTTTTAAAAAGTAGACCCAATTTATGGACAATAAATTTTATAGCTTACTGTAATAGTATGTGTTCAGTACATATCCTAGTACTGAGAGTACCTGTGTAGTATCTGTGATACAGAGATAGCTGCTCCGATATATGGTAGACCTTATGTTCTGTGATATGTAGACGATGTATACATATTTGGTGTTTTAGGTCCTTTCATCCTAATAGAGATTGACTGTGATATTTGCAACTTGACTGTCCATATTTTACTCATTGTATACACATATTTCATGTACATTTTACTTCATGAATAAAAGGTTTAGTTGAACATGTTTCTCAGTTTATCTGTTTATTTTGAGTCCGGCACTGTACTCTTGGACAGATCCCACATTGTAAAAACAAAAGACCGGATCTTCAATTTGTGTCATGGGTACTCAAGAACTATCATACCTTACAGCTATTGAAATTCATGCTACTCTACTATCTTTAGACTAGTGAATTGTGCTGGGGACAAGGCAAACTCTAATGATAGTAGTCCTCATTGACCAGAAGGCTCTGGTGTCCCCCGCCGTGATGTTGCTGGAATATTGCTAAAAGTGGCATAAAACCAAACTCAGTCAGTCAGTCAGACCAGAATGCTATTTGTCCTGAACCAGTCCTCAATGGATAATTTTGCTGAAAATTGGAACTGAATAAAACTTACAGAAAATGTACCTATTATAGTAAACATTTTTGTCTTGTTTCAGAAAGTTTTGCAAACTTTGGAAACTAATGGTTTATGCTAAACAAGACTTACAAACATCAGTATGTATGAAATGCAACAAAAAATGTCACCAAACTCTGGGCAGGTCTGAATCTCAATAGATTTGAGGTGACATCTGTGAAAGGTCACAGTTATCTGAGGCTGAACATCCCCAACTTCATTGCACAAGTTATTAAGTTTTTTAATTCATGAAAACGATATATTTTTCAGTAAGAAAAGATGAAATACACAATGCCATTTAGAAAGTGGTCAAATGTAACATGTTATATTTGGGATTACACTTTCTTAGTAAAGTACAGATTCTAGTACTTTTGTTGGGTTGAATCACCTCCAAGGATTCGAACCCACACCCTCAGCCTAGACCGCTGGCGATTAGGTGCCTGACTCTGAGGGTGTGGGTTGGAATCCCATAGGGGACTCAACCCAACAAAAGTACTAGAATCTGTACTTTACTAAGAAAGTGTAATCCCAAATATAACATATGTTACAAGAAAAGATAAGCTGAAACTAAATACATCAATGTCTTTTACATGCCACAATGTGGTGTTCCTTTAGGCACAGGAACACTGTTGCTGGACAGGTTAGATTAATTGTATCTAGTCGTCAAGTAGTGGGGGCTTGACTGCATATGTCTGTACAGGATGGAGTGGTGCGTTGTTGATTATTTCAGTCACTGGTATGTCTGGTCCAGACTTGATTTATTACACATATATCGTCACACTTTTCTGGCAGTCAGAATCTTAAAATAGACTATGCATTTACGGGCATTTCTCGTGGTTATGTAAATGGTTTCTGTTTCTGTATTTAAAAAAAAGGCCACCATGACGAAGCTGCAATAGTGTAAGACCACCCCTACTTTGTTTCCCTAGTCCCCTCCGCCGGGTCTTCTTTTATACCGGAAACAATACAGCATTCTCTTAAGCTGCTGCTGTAGAAGTTTATGCCCTCTTATAATGAAAACGTTTCAGCTTGATCGTTTTCCATCACCATTTATCAGATAAGTGTTTCCGAACTGAATCCAAACGACTTTATCTTCATAATAATGAGAGATTTTAACCAAAAGATCTAAAAATATAAACTCCTAAAATGCATTACAAAATTAGTGAAGAATGTTTTTTATATTTTTTATTTTTATACGTTTTCTTCGAAGAATATATCACAGGTCCCATGTACACCCATGTGTAGACTCCACAACCTTCGCAACCTTGCTGATTTCACGTTGTGAACCCTGAAGGCGTATCACCTTGGTCATGCTATCTTTCTGGGGTACAGAGTGCGACACACCTGGTACGTACATTTCACTGACAACGGCAATCGATTGTCTTGAAATAATTAAGCAAAGGAACATTCCACATGAAAGTCCCTCATGGAAGTTCAAACAACTGTTGGGGCGGTGGGGTAGCCTAGTGGCTAAAGCGTTGGCTCGTCACGCCGAAGATCCGGGTTCGATTCCCCACATGGGCACAATGTGTTAAGCCCATTTCTGGTGTCCCCCGCCGTGATATTGCTGGAATATTGCTAAAAGCGGCGTAAAACTAAACTCAGTCAGTCAGTCAGTCAAACAACTGTTTATTAAAAGCAATCAAAGGGACCGTTCATAATTTATGGCTAGGAATGTGTGGGTGGTGGTGGTGATTATTTTGGAAAAGTATGTACAGTGTGAATGATCCAACCTAAACTTTATGTACAAAGTAAGTGAACCCCCCCCCCACACCACACACACCCTGCATGTCATGTACAAAATCAGTGACACCGCCCCCCACCCTCCCATAATTTTTTAAGACTAATTTTTCTAATCTACATATGTACAAAATTGCTGACGACACCACCCCCTTCCCCAGCCGTAGATTAAATTATGAACGGTCCCTAAGTAATTTTATTTAACTCTCCATAAACTGTTATCGAGCTAAAATAAAATAGATAAGAAGGTGAACTAAGTCCCAGTTAAATATCACGAGTTTTGACGGAGTCACTATATGTAGCGTGGGAAATCTATACGTGGTGCGAGAATATGACTGACGAGTTCAACATTTACTCTTTCACTGTCATGGTTCAAATAAATATTAGACGTTTTCCTATGGGGTATATTTAAATGGGATGCCAGATGAAACTGATGATGTACTGAAGACCTAAACCACATGCATTACAATCATACCTTTTGCTGATTTCAGAATATTTTATGGTCCCAGATATCTCGCACGTTTGGCATTCATTCATTGCCCTCAGAAAGAATTGCCACCTCTATCTGAACCAGGGTTATGGTTACAGACAGCGTTGTGGACTTGACGCGATCACGATTTGTTGAAAATTATGTAAATGGACATTCCACTTGAAGTTATCCCATGGAAATCAACACTACTGATTTTAAACAACAAACTAACAAATTAGGTTTAATTTCCCATAATGTGCTATCGATCTCCCCTTACCCACAATACCCCAAAATGCCAAAGAAAACCAAAAAAATATTACAGAAAATTATCTCTGAATTAATTTTGGAAAACCGTAGTTACAGATGTTCTGAAGTCACTTTCTGTAACGAAAAAAAACTCAACACTATCTAAAAACACATGTTGTGCCTGACCTCACAGCTGATCGGTTCTCTCCATATAAAGGCAAGACCAGCTGTCTATCTGTCAGTGACCCACCGGTTGTCATGATTCACATCTGTATTTTAGCCTTCCTACTTCCTACGGGTAAGCCTGGCCTTGGCATATCACACACTATGGGATCATGACTACAGGAATTGGTTTGTTGGTCTACTGTACGGTTGGTTGGTTTGTTGTTTAACGCCACACTCAGCAATATTCCAGCTATATGGCGGCGGTCTGTAAATAATCGAGTCTGGACCAGACAATCCAGTGATCAACAGCATGAGCATCGATCTACGCAACTGGGATACGATGACGTGTCAACCAAGTCAGCGAGCCTGGCCACCAGATCCAGTTAATCGCATGTTACGACAAACATGGCTTACTGAAGACCAATTGTAACCCGGATGTTCCCGGGTCTGTTGGTTCACGGGAGGAGTGGGGATCATGATGGTCTATCCCCTAGTCCACACAGGCACAAATATGTTAAGTAGACGATACTGATCTTGATCCAGTACCTAATAAGATTCTATTGTTGTACAGAACATTTTCCGTCCTATCATAGAAAGATTGCAAATCTAAGCCTGAGCATAGGATCAGTTTAGCTGACTCTGAATATGTGTTGCATCGTCATATTTTTTAGCAAAATCTCTAAGTTACAAACTCAGTCACTACCGGCTCGTGTCTAACTTAACGTTTTTCTTCAAACTAATCGTGAGGGCTGTGAAGATTAGACTGATATCTTAATTGTCGATTCATTCCTTATCAGAGAAATTCAAGTCGTTCTACAGAACAGGCTACAGTTTGGAAACCGCATTCTCACCTAGGTAGATGCTTTCCCTTTCGTGATTCCCGATCTGCCACCAGGGGCTCCTTTCACGAAGCAACCTTTACTAAGGTCAACCCTAACTCCCATTCTATAACATTGCCTTAAGGTTACCTAAGTGACTTACGATCACCTTAGTGCTTTGTGAAAGGAGGCCCTGGAGGAATGCACAAATGACATTTTGGATGACACTAAAAACTACGCTAAGATCTGTAAGGAGCAGTTTATATCGTATCCAAAAACGATAACACAAATTGTGTCCAAAAACCAAATCATATGACACCTCAGCTGCTTAGCGATCTGCACTGGCTCCCAGTTGAAGGTCGAGTTGAGTACAAGACCCCGATCTTACAATGCCAATCCTAAACCCAGTCAGTGCCTGAGTACTTATCTGACCTGATCTGGGTATATCAACCACATAAATTCATATATCAGGCCTCTTTGTATACCATAGAAAACAGACAACCTTTGAGCAGAGGTTATGTTTCGACAATGTTACAGTTCCATGGAACCATCTCCCTTCACATGTAAAAGAAGCAAAAGTTCTAAAGATTCTGTCTATACATCAAGACATTCCTGTTAAGACTCTGGTTATCGAATTCAACATTTGTCTTGTATCAATGACCTTGTATCCGCAAATATGTCTCCTATTTTGTGAGCATTCACCTTGTGTGGGGAGGTCATCGCAGAACTAACGTACTTGTTATAGCTATTCTTACTTATAATAACTATAATGTGAGTATAATAATGTCAGGAGATTGACTTGATTTGCATTGGGTGTAAGCTTAAGTTGAATTACAGAAGCATAAACTAGTGTAAATATGTAGTCTCAGATCTCTCATGACTGTTTCGAGTTTAACACACCGATACGTGATCTGGTGTGGGTATTGAAACTTAGAGTTATCAATGTGTAAGGGTTAGTCAGATACAGTGTGAATTGGTTTGACATGCTTCTAGTGTATCTAGACATAATCTAAGGTTGCATGTTTTATGAACAGGTTGTCATGGTGCACGTATTAAAAAGTAAAATCGAGCCTTGAAAAGATACCAAATAGGGCCTATTCTGAACAAGGTCAAGTCACCCAAGAAAGTGCATAGTCACACTCAGTGATAAGTGTTTCATTGTTGAATATATCCTGAAAAATGTTAGCCACCATCGCTTGGTAAATTCACTTGTAAATGTAGATTTATCGATAAAATTCTAGTTTCTAGTAGATTCTAAATAGATTCTAGTAGATAAAACACGAGTTTGCTTTCATTGAATAATTATTTAGCCATTCGAAAATTCGAATTTAGTATTGAACATGAATCTCTCTTCTGTGGCACCATCCTACAGCACTGGGGTCGATCTTCAGTGACCCTCACTGTTCCGGGGGTAGGAGTGCCATCACGCACCTGTTCGAGTGGACGTGGTCAGACGTTGCACAGGAATGTGAGAGGTTCCTCGGACCGTATGGCTACTGTGGTGTTCAGGTAAACCTGTTTGAATGTGTTCCTTCTAACGTACGTTCCTAAAACGTATCTTTGTCGCGAGTTCAGGCCTTAGTCTTGCCAAGCAGACAAAATATAGGACGGAGATCCTCGCTTGTGTAAAACAGCTTTTTATTGCCTGTGAATTATGAAATAATACAACATTAGGACTGACTGACTGACTGAGTTTAGTTTTACGCCGCTTTTAGCAATATTACAGCAATATCACGGCGGGGGACACCAGAAAAGTGGCTTCACACATTGTGTCCATGTGGGGAATCGAACCCGGGTCTTCGGCGTGACGAGCCAACGCTTTAACCACTAGGCTACCCCACCGCCCTACAACATTAGGAAGATGTTGTGTCATCCATACGTTTGTGAATGTGAATCAAGCAGGCATATTAATTATTCAATTGATAATATCATAGCACAGTGGCATACGTTATATTTATGATAACAATTGAATAATAGTGATTGTTTACCTGATGACGTCACATACAGGTGATGCATCATGACATTGCTAAAAATATACACAGTTGGTGTTGATAATGAAAGGTTTATAAAATAAACTATAATTATGCTTTCACACACTGTCTTACGTGCTAGTGCTTAAGTTAGTAAGTGATACGCGATAGATATGTTTACTTTATGCGCGATCGGTAACAATATGTTTACTAACTTAATGTACTTAACTGATAATAATTAGATATTTAGCACTATGAAATAGAGAAAGGATATAGATAGGGTGCTTACCTGTGAATTATGAATAATACAACATTAGGAAGATGTTGTGTCAGCCATGCATGTGTGATGGCTGACGGATGACGATTGAATGTGAATTCAAATTGTCATACGTCACAGGTGTAGAAGCCCGTGATTGTGGCGGTGAGCCAATATAAGACAGTGTAGAAGCCCGTGATTGTGGCGGTGAGCCAATATAAGACAGTGTAGAAGCCCGTGATTGTGGCGGTGAGCCAATATAAGATAGTGGAGAAGCCCGTGATTGTGGCGGTGAGCCAATATAAGACAGTGGAGAAGCCCGTGATTGTGGCGGTGAGCCAATATAAGATAGTGGAGAAGCCCGTGATTGTGGCGGTGAGCCAATATAAGACAGTGGAGAAGCCCGTGATTGTGGCGGTGAGCCAATATAAGACAGTGGAGAAGCCCGTGATTGTGGCGGTGAGCCAATATAAGACAGTGGAGAAGCCCGTGATTGTGGCGGTGAGCCAATATAAGACAGTGGAGAAGCAGCTTTCTGATGAAAATACAGAGAAATTAAAGGCTGTCGGCGACATTTTCATTTTACATATTTGATATTTGCCATGCGGAACACATTCGGCATATTTTTCTTCTTCTTTGTTTCCCACAAGGGTAAGGGACTCTACGTAATGTTCTTTTCGTCATATCAAGACATTAAAGACGTGCATTGCATGCACCAGTCTTGGCATAAGTGCACTGGAAACCTCACTCACTCACTCCAAGCGTCTACATTTCTCAACTGTTTAAACGTTTTGTTTACATTTCAAGGAACAACTGTTTGCTTAAGATACGACTGAGCTCTGCCAAGTAGGTTTCACCATCTGATGCGTGGTTCATTCAGTCAAGAAACGTGCGTGGTATGGCATGTCGTTTGTGATCATGATGCTCGATACTGTCCCAAGCAGTGAACTAGTGTTTGTCTCTGCCCACTCGTGGCTGTTTTTCATGCAATCTGTGAAGGGTGCTAACGATAGAACCGATGTATGCATGTATTTATTGAAATGAAACTTTTGATTTAAACAGATGGCTTTCAGATAGTACAATGTGTATTTTGATCAGATATCTCCTCCCAATGAGAACGAAATTGTCACTAAGCCGAGACGCCCATGGTGGGAGCGGTACCAGCCAGTCAGCTACAAACTGCAAACGAGGAGCGGTACCGAGCAGGAACTGAAAGACATGGTGGTCAGGTGCAACAAGGCTGGAGTCAGGTGAGCTTCACACATTAACACAGAGGACCAGTGACTGGTTAAAGAAGACTGTCAGACACATCGATGAATAAGTTAGTGATTCAGCCAGGTGCAACAAGGTTAGAGTCAGGTGAGCTTCACACATTAACACAGAGGATCAGTCATTGGTTAAAGGAGAATGTCAGACACATGGACGAATAAGTTAGTGATTCAGCCAGGTGCAACAAGGTTAATGTCAAGTAGGCTTCAAACTTATAAACAGAGGGTCAGTGATTGGCGAAAGAAGAAAGCTGCTTGTCCGAACGTTTCATCAAATGTGATGGGTAATTCTGTTCACTTTCTGTCTGTGATATTGCAGTTGATCATCTTTACCTGTCAGTGATCGAGGATGGAATAGGTAAACTAGTGACTGAAAGTTTGAACCACGATCTATGTCATCAGGGGAGACAACACACAACGTGCCGGGTTACAGATTCCAGTTGTAGTCTTACCATGGCTTATTGATGGCACAATGGCTTATTCTTACCTCCAAACAGATTGAACCATTGGAGTGATCGTCGACAAACTTTAATGTCTTCATAATGTGTAAAAGTCCAACGATGAAATGAATTTCCTGTTCACGTCTGTCCAGTGCAAGGAACGTCTACCCGGCAAGTGGAATTAATGTGTTCGACACCCGGCTGCGTCCTACCAAGACACGGAAAAGATTGTTTCTAGAAGCCTCGTAACATACTCATATTCACACGCACATACGCATAAACGCGTCTCTATATAAGTACAATGATAATGGACGCGACATTAAACCCCACTTTAACTGACCTTTTCCAGAATCTATGCCGACATTACGATCAACGACATGACCGGTGTGGCTGGTAGAGGTGTAGGCACGGCTGGGTCTTCATACGACACTAACCAACTGCAGTACCCTGGGGTCCCATACGGCCCCACAGACTTCAACGACGGCTCCAACTGCCACTCTGCCGACCTCACCATTCACGACTACAACAATGCAGAGGAAGTGCGGAACTGCCGCCTGGAGGGTTTAGCGGATCTGAAACTCGCCAAAGATTATGTGAGAGGCAAGATTGCTGAATACCTCAACCACCTTGTGGACATTGGTGTGGCAGGATTCAGAGTCGACGCTGCCAAACACATGTGGCCAGGTATGTCTACAAGTATTGGTTTATTGTGTACACATTGTGGATGAACATCTTCACAACACACCCCTCTGACCGGGAGGGTATGATCGGTGGTTCGGCCAACAGACGTTGAAAGATATAGGTTCGATTCAATGAGTACGGCTTTTTAGCAATATCACGACCGGTCGCTCAAGAAATGGTCTTCACACATTATACCCATGATGGGACTCGAATCCCTGCTTCGACTTGATGAGTAAAGACTTTAACCACCAGGCTGTCAAACGCGCTATCCGGCATTTAAAGATTTATTTGTGATATGAGCCAATAAATATGTTTATTTTACTTAAGGTTATGTTTTGTTATGGTGCAGGAGACTTAACGGCAATCTTTGGGAGGGTAAAAGATCTCCGCTCGGATATATTCGGAAGCGGAATGAAACCGTTCATATATCAGGAAGTAATCGACCTTGGAGGTAGTGAGCCTATCAAGGGAGGCCAGTACCTTAGCAGTGGAAGAGTCACCAACTTCATCTTTGGTTCCAAACTTGGTCAGGTCTTCAGGTAAAACACATGATTCCTTTAGGATGTCATCTTCTTGCTATTGTCGCAGCCTTATTAGTCATCATAGCATCCATAGGGCATGGGATTACTGATCACTAACACTGTCTGCTAACATGTACGACTGTCTGCACTAAACCAGAGTTTCCTAATTGGGGTAACCTTATTCTTTGATTGTCATTCTAGAAGCTGGTGAGTGAATAAGGAAACGTAACAACAACTTCTTGTTTGTTTGATGGGCATTTTAGAAGTTGAGGTGATGAAGATTGATGACAATTTTTATGGATATACAACTTCAGTTATTCTGTGAAAGGCGACGTTTCGACATAGATTCTAATGTCGTTGTCAAGATTCTAATGTCGTTGTCACTTGCTTATTCATATAAGAATAAAAGAAGTATATCCATAAAAATTGTCATCATTCAACATTTTGTTTGTTGCATTAAGCGGAGTTCCGGTTTAGATTCTTACACCTATTGGTTGTGATGAAGCCGATGCTACAAGTCATCAAACAGTATCATTCAACCAGCAAATGAGCAGATGTCTGCCACAGGTTCCACAGCATCAAACCACAATAAGCTGGTCGGTCCCAGGGTCATTCCCTGAGATTCAAGTCGAGATAGGAGGGGCGATGTAAGGAGCGCCACCATGCAAAATTCAACCAGGCAATAAATATAGCATACGAAACTCTAAGGTTTTAAAATGATACGAAGACTATTATTGTATTCTTAATTCTGTGTAAGCATCTCTCATTATTGAAATAATTAATGTTTCTAATTCCAGAAAGCAAAACCCCATGAAGTATTTATCCAACTGGGGATCAGCTTGGGGAATGCTGAAATCTGATGATTCTGTCGTGTTTATCGATAACCATGACAACCAGCGTGGGCATGGTGGAGGTGGAGGTCCGATCACCCACTTTGAGCCCCGTGCTTATAAGCTGGCTACAGCCTTTATGTTGGCCCATCCATACGGTTTCCCCAGGGTGATGAGCTCGTATGACTTCAACCGAGCCAACCCTGACCAAGGACCACCCCAGAACAGCGACATGAGTACCAAGCCAGTAACCATCAAAAGGTATTGTACTCCTCTTTATCCAGTGAACATGTTGGATATAATTGTCCCATACAAAATGATAAGTGGAATATCGTTGCTGTAAACATTCGTCATCATCAGAGAAAACGAACTCTCGTTTTCCGCAAAAACGAAACTAGTTGGGCCGAAAATGCTAAACACAGATGAACATTTAATGAATGGATCACTGAAATGATGACACCAGGTGTTCGCGAAAAATGAGAGTAATGCTGTCTTTTACTTACCCAATTTGCGAAAGGAAAACAGTACATATTGCTTGACCAGAAACAGTCGCAACATCTGTATTTCAGTGATATGTCCTGTGGTAACGGCTGGACCTGTGAACATCGATGGCGCCAGATGTACAACATGGTTGCCTTCAGGAACATCGCAGGTTACTCGGGGTTATCAAACTGGTGGGCTGGTTCAGACTATCAGATAGCATTTTCCAGAGGAAACAAGGCCTTTATTGCCTTCAACCTTGAGGGATATGACCTTTCCAAAAGTCTCAACACTGGACTTCCGTCTGGAAGATATTGTGATGTCATTTCCGGCAACCTTGAGAATGGCAGTTGTACTGGCAAGACAATTAACGTTGACGGAAGTGGCCATGCTTCGATTCATATTGGCAGCTCTGACCAGGACCCAATGGTGGCCATCCATGTCGGTAAGAAGTTTTGTATGACACCAAAATAATAATAACCTCAACAAGAAGTCGGACAAGGCCAGTTAATTGTAAAAGAAGCATAAGCAAAGATAATATAGGCCTAAACAATGAACTCAATGGACGTATTGCAGTGGTTGCCATCATATTGCAGTTAGACCTTAGCATGTCGATAACAGAGGGACAATGTATATAATGGTTTATCTGATTTATATTAGGGGTATTATTGATGGTTAACAATACATAGTACAACAGGAGAAGAATATGTATTTCGATAATATTTTCATTTAGTATTAAACGTCTGTATACAAAAATGTCAGTCTGGCAACAACATCGAAGGTCATATTAAACACATAAGGTAACTCCTTCATTTATAGCCTAAAATCACAAACTCTTGTTCTGTTTTAAAAATTTATTATCACTGGAAGTCCTGCACAAACATACGCTTCTAACAAACACAGTATTGAAATAATACGAAAAGGTTGGTAGACTGGACCAAACGATTGGTGCAGGTGACAGTGAAGACAATGATGTAATACTGTCAATATTTCAAGAGTATTAAACCGTGATAATATGGCACTAGGATCACATACCTCTACAATGGCCGTGAGGCGAAACATAATCCAACTAAAGGGACGATCCATAACCCAAATTGGATATTTTATGTTATATTTTCAGGTGCCAAAAAGGGTTCGGCAGGAAAGCGAGTTGGTTAAATCATCTAATGCTTGATAATCCAGTTGTAGCTGTCACGTGTATAAAAATGTATGTACTTGATTATAAACAATTGTTTCATTTTGCCATTTTTGCCATTTAGAGTGATTGGGTTGGGTTTAACTCTGTTTGAATTCCGTTTTTTCTCGGTGTGTCGGTTTGGCATAAAAGGAAAGCCGGAAGTGACGACGTGTGCTGAACACCTATTTTATGAAGACATTTTCGAGCCGTTTCAGATTCAAAAGGTGTGTGATGTGATGTGGTGTGGTGTGGCGTGGTGTGTGGTGGCGTGGTGTGGTGTGGTGTGGTGTGGTGTGGTGATGTGATGTGGTGTGATGATGTGGTGTGGCGTGGTGTGGTGATGTGTGGTGATGTGGTGTGGTGTGGTGAGGTGTGGTGTGTGGTGATGTGGTGTGGTGATGTGGTGTGGTGTGATGATGTGGTGTGGCGTGGTGATGGTGATGTGATGTGATGTGATGTGGTGTGATGTGATGTGGTGTGGCTTGGCGTGGTATGGTGGTGCGGTGTGGTGATGTGGTGTGGCGTGGTGTGGTGTGGGGTGGCGTGGTGTGGTGAATAGTTGCAAGTAATCATGTCAGGGCCTGACACCACGAGGGCCAATATCATAGGAAAAGTGCTTGCCGTTGTTGTTCAGTGATCGCAGATGAATTTAGGATTAGCTGGATCTCCGATCTCGAACATCCGACCCAATTAAGTCGTCTTTTAACACACGCCTAGGCGCTTGTAATATCATAGAAACAATACCAACAGCAATAATAAGATACACAGTTATTAACAATAATAACACAGAACTTCCACAGCACTACACATATCACTTGGGTGTTTATTGATTTTCCATTCTCAACTCCCTGTGGAGTATGCAGCCAAAGCTGCCTGTTTGACGTCTACAGCATTCACATAAACACCCCGTATTCCCTGTTGTGTGAATAGACGCCACTTTCAAACAGAACCATCTGCCTCGGAAACAACGTTTTAGGACATGTTTCATGATTTTTAATCTCTGGATAATTCCAGCTTGCCTACCACATTCACCCGGCCAAGTAACATTGCTCACGAATTTCAATCGACACGAAGGTTCAGAACTAAGTATTAATCAATAAACGAGCAATATACATACAGTGCTACATATAAGGGTAACGTTATCAGGTAGATGTGGAAACCTCCCATAAGAACCACCACCACACTAACCATAACGCTTAGTGTCTGAAAATATATAATCTTGATTGAACAAACAACGCAGCTCAAACAATATTTAACGCTTAACTATCGTTAGAGTCTTAGATAGACGGACGGAGCAGTACGCGACTGCAACAAGGATACACGTTGACGAAGGTGATTGACGCTTAAACGTCGAGTCATAATCGGCTATTGAACATGAAATAAACATATATTTATGCGTTTATAATCACCGCCACTAATATTATGTATGGTCAATACAATGAATAGAAGAAACATACTAAATTCTTATTTAATTGTCCAGCTGCTTCAGTCACCCAGTCAACGAGGTTGAGTCAGTACTGGTGAACTATCCGGCCTCAAGCGTCACAAGGTTAACACTGATCATGGCCACAGCCTGCTTTAATCTCGCAGTCAATATTTCTAACATCACTCGTTTCACAATTTCGGTGTATAAGGCTACTGACGGTATCAAAGGTGAAAATATTGTCGTGGTTGTTGGCGGTAAATGAGTATAGTTTTACGCCGCTTTTAGCACTATTCTAGCAACATCGTGGTGATTGGACACCAGAAAGGGGCTTTACACATTGTACCAATGTAGGGAATCGAACCCGGGTTTTAGTCGTGGTTATGAATGCAGACTTGATCTCGTCACTATAATATGGCGGAAAGAGTGCCGATGTGACGTAAAGCCCAACTCAACTCAACTTAGTCATGACGAGCGAACGGTTTAACCACTAGGCTACCCCGCCACCCATGTTGGCATTAAACTATTGTTTGAGAATAAGGTTTTGAAGGCACACGGAAACATGACAAGCTTGAGTCTGAAGTGCTAAGCGGAAAGTTGTCGTAGCCGCGGGATGGTCTGTTACTTCTTAGTTCGTACGTAGCTGCGTAGTTGGTATCCCTTCTGGCCGTGCTCCAGTGAGAGAAGGTTGAGACCGTCCAGGCTCCAGACCACATACATGGCGTCTGTGATAGATATATCTCATGTCAGCTAAAACATAGGTGTCTGTGAGACCGTTAACGAACAGGTTTAAATATCAGATTACAATAGACAGGGATGAAAGAGACGGAAGTGACATACAGACATTCTCGCCCAAACCACGTGTCTTTAATGTTGAGAACTCAGAGGCTAGGCGAGTCCAAACAGAAATTTGGACTCCGACGTTTGGCGTGGACTTTCAATATTTTATCAAAGACTTTTGAATATAATTGATTTCAAAAGACAAAAGGGTGAGATTCAAGTTACCTCCACATTCATTCTTCTAACGTGTGATTTGATGAGAACCAGTGCTTTTATGATTTTTCTTCGTTTGCTTGTTGTTAACGCCGCACGCAGTATTCTAGGTATATGGCGGCGGTCTGTAAATAATGTGGACCAGACAACCCAGTGATCAACTGCACTAACATCGGCCTACGCAATTGGGATACCAGTCAAATACATCAACATATACAGAACCCATTTTATTGTTCGGTTTTAATTTCTAACCACCATCGCCAGGTGGTGACAGTTTATTGTAGTGCTGTGCTTCCTTTTATATTCACCCGTGAAGATCCGGGTTAGAATTAGTCTTCAGCAACCCATGCTTGTCGTACCCTGTGAAGATCCGGGCTTGAACTGATCTTCAGTAACCCATGCTTGTCGTAAGAGGTGACAAACGGGATCGGGTGGCCAGGTTTGCTGACTTGGTTGACACGTCATCGTATCCCAATTGCTCATATCGATGCCCATGAGACTAATCACTGGATTGTTCGGTCCTCGATTATTTACAGACCGCCGCCATATAGCTGGTATATTGCTGAATGTGGCGTTGAACAACAAACAAAAAACCTATTATATACAGACAGTGTGCTTATGCACACGTCAACATTTAGGGTAAACTGAAACCTGCACTGATATTCGCAGCAAATTGTGTCAAGGTTTCTTAAATCTACAGGTAACTTGCTCTTTAGATCTACATTGAAAGAAAAAAAACCTTTTCCTAAAACTGTCAACAACACTCGCCTTTCTTCAGTTGGAGGCCTTCGTCACACATTGTGTCCAGTTTCCCTACCACGTCAGGTCCCACGTTGTAGCAGGCTTTGTTCTTCATCAGGACCAGCATCTCTAGACCATCCAGAGTCAGGCTGATCATGGTGATGTGGTGGACATTCACCAGCTGTTTCCGGTTCACGCTTCTCAGTATGTTATTGCTCGGGTGTAGTAGGTGTAGCGTCCCGCCTCCCTCCCCATCTGCAGATTCTACCGTGTATATCTTCCCTCTGGGGACCAGGAAGAACACGCCACAACGTCCAGCGATATTCCTGAAAACCGAAGTCCTCACAGAAATTGATTATAGGAGAGGTCAGCAACCTTTTATAAAGGTTTACTAATGACACCAATGTAATATACGCTCGAAAAGAAAGACATATGCCATCTAGATGTAAAAACACACAAACATCATCATCATCATCATCATCATCATCATAATCATCATCATAATCAACAAACGTATACACTCAATTTGTGTGACAAGCTAACGTATTTTAGGTACCACTTTATCTTATAATCCGTAGGAAGAAGACGAATTTAACAAGTTTAAAAAGTTCCCATTAATATGAATAATGTAAATAAACAAAATTCGTTTGATGTTAATGGTAACTGTCTATCCCGCTCTGCACACCTGACCACAAAGCAAGCAGACAAGTCTCGGTACCTGAAAGCACTCTTTCCAACTGACAGAAGGCTCTCTCTAACAAATCATGTATTACAGTACACTTTGACTTACAATATCTCCTTGACTACAACCTCAGCCCAAGAAACAATCATACATTCCATTCGACACATATCCATCTGGCCAATGGTAGGCACGAAACGACAAACATTTGAATCGCGGTATCTTGCAATTAGACTTTTAATTGCATTCTCCGAATTGGTTGATTATTGACAGACCTAAGCTATGAGGCTTGAATAATACAGGTCAACGCTTTAAATAAGTTTCGCTCGTAGATATGGCGAATTTCTGTTGGAAGAATGCATTACATACGTACTCGATATCGTAATGTCCGGCAAATGCTGATGTGGTTCCATTGAGAGCGTTGTGACGTACATAGTATATGCGATTGGCACGTCGAGTCTGGCTGTAGGATACTCCCATGTACAGACAGAACTCTCCACTCTGTTGGCAATAGCCAAAGTGAGCGTGGCCCACATTAGCCCTTGGCATTCCAAGAATCCTTATTGACCTCCACAAAGTTGTTTTGTAATTTGTTTCAGCTATGAAGCTGCGACCGGCAGCACTCTTCAGTACGTAGTAGGTGATGTCGCGGTTGACAGGGCTGGCAGCAAACCCCAGGATATTTCTTTCATTTTCCAGGGGGATGATGTCTTCCTTGGATGTGAATACCGTTTCTGAAATAGTTATAACGTACACCTCTTACTCTCATTAGAAACACAAATACGTATCAATTATCAGAATTAGGTAGTGTTTATGTATCGCGAGGTTCTTGAGAGGCATATAGAAGTTGGTATTCAAGTATATGACAAAATATTATGTCAACTTCTTGTTCATTCTATGCACAACGTTTCTGGGCTTTTCCTTGTCCCTTCGTCAGGTGAATAATGGCAAGGAAAAGCCCAGAAACGTTGTGTATAGAATAAACAAGAAATTGTAATTGTTTATGTATCGTTGTTCAGCCGCGGCCATGGTGAATAACCATTCACAATAAATCACCCCGCTCATTGATAATCGATCATAAACCAGAAAGATCCAGTTCTTGATCAAGGGATCGGTGTACAATGGCAGGTGTTAAGTCAATCCAC